TATTATTGTAACGGGCCTCCCCGGTGGCGCAGCGGTAGAGCGCTGGGTTGCGAAGCTGCCCGCGGCCTCTGCGGCGCCGGTTCGATCCCCGGCTGCTCCCCGGCCACTGCAGGAGGGTCCCACATGGCGCGCAGATCTCTCCTGCCGCCTGCTGCTCCCCTCAGCAGTGTACTTCGGTCCTTCTGCCTGCTCTGCCTCTGGTGAATTCTCTCGCCCTCCCGCGCTTCTGACTGTACCCAGTGCATGTATAAACAAAACAAACAAACAAGCAAACAAATAAATAAAGAAAAACATGCCTCTATTGAAAAAAAAATCTTAAAAAAAATTATTATTGTAACAGAACTGTCTCAGAAATGGTTACTGTGTCCCATGGAAACCATCAGGTAACACCTGTAATTATGATCAATCACATCTTGTCTTGGAAATTGTGTTGCAAATGACACCCCTTAACCTCCAAGCACTATAAATAAGGGTCTAAACCCAGCTTTGCTGTATTTATTTACTTATTTATTATTTATTTGTTTATTTGCCATTACTGACATATATTGCAAAAATAACACGGATGAACACAGTTACCTTAGCAGGATAAGGCAATGATATAAAATGGATGTTTTAAAAAGGATCATGCTTCATGATTGATCTTTAAGATCTATAGAAGGTCTGAAACTATGAAAATTCTGTACTCTGACAAACAGAGCAATTCAGGCCCAAGGCATCTCTTATCTTGAATCATTATTTTCTATGTTACTAAGCTATGGGAAGGAAAAACAAAGCTTAATTCTAATCTGGACCAAACCTGTATCAAAATCCACTGCCAAAGACCATGGTGAACTCCTGGATGGAACGTTCTAGATATAGACAATCCGGGCCTCTGCTATCCTGATGGACACAATGTAAAAACAATGTGGTGATGAGAAGTAGTTTGCTCAGAGCAAGAGGTTGGGCAGGATCTCCCACGGAAACCAAGGTCACTTCTACAGGAGTGCCCACCCCAGGAAGGCTCCCAGAGAACCCGATTTCGCCTGCCTAGAAGACAGTCCCGGTATCATTCACAGGAGGAAGAGAAGCCAACCTAGTAGGGCTCAGCCTCTGAAACCAACACAAAGAACTGCACGTTGATGGTGTTTGCAGAGTGCGCGCTCCTTCTGCGGCCTTGCCGCTTTGGGGCAGGATAAGCCTGGTTACAGAAGTAAGTTACTCTTCCTCTTCGTGCATGCAGTTTCCTCATATGATGTATAATGGGGGTAAAAAAGGAAAGGCTCTGTCACCTGGGAAGTGATCACTGGCACATCCTCCCACATGCTTGCAGGTAACTGATGACAGAGACAACCCCCGCTGGTCTGCACCAGGGTCTGCAGCTTAAAGGGCTCCTTAAGCTGGTGCCCACTTCAGAACATCCAAGCTCAGTCTCTAAAGGTGTGTTGCTAGGGGAGGTGGCCCGCCCAGCGTCTCAATGGCCCGGGGAGGTGGAAGGTGGGGATGTCAGAGCTGTCCTGCCCAGTTCTCCAAATGCCAGTGAGAACAGATGAAGAACACGCAGAGCAGAAAGCCGGGACTCCAGGTGAGTTTGTGTGCATCCAACCCTTGCTCTCTCCTCTCGCTCTCCCTCTCGCTGCTCTGACAAATCTTCCTCTTACTCTGTCTCCATCACTGGCCCTCACTTTTCTCTGTTTGTGCTACCAGTCTGCCTCTCTGATTCTCCCTCCCAACACCACTGTTACTGCCTCGCTGTCATTCTTTTTTCTGGTGCTGCTCTTCCTTTCTTGGCGTCTTTTTCTGCATCTCTGCTCTCCTTTGATGTCTGTAAACTCTGGCATCTTTCTCTGGGCACCCAGGTCCCTCTCCCTCTCTTACCTGTTCTGTCTCCTTTCCCTCCCTCCCTCCTTCCGGTCTCTCCTCTCCTTCCTTCCTCCGCTCCCTCGGCCTGTATTTCATGTCCCGAGGTCTCTGCCCGAGGGAGTAGACAGGGCAACCCGCTCTCCGCGGCCTTCTTGCTCTTCTCTGACTGTGTCGACCTCTCTAATCCTCTTCACCCCTCAAATATTCTCCATTTCCATGAGGACGCACGGATGGCAAACCCAGAGGCCACAAAAAGCGCCACCAGACAGGGGAGTGAAAGCAGGGAAATGGAAGAGGCTGCGAGACAGACCGAGGAAGAGGGGGCGGGGATTAAGGTGGGGGGGAATTGGGGATGAAGAGAAGGCCCTGAGGGAATTGAGACGCCTGCAGATGGGATGAGAGAGCTAGACTGCCAGAGAAAGCTTGTGGTCCGGCGCGTCTCTGCCGTTCCGGGCTCCTCCGCTGGAGGGAAAGGGGACAGGCAGCCTGAGCAGCTCCAGGCTGGCCCAGCCCCTCCACCCAGCTGCTAACTCTGCACCGCTGTTTTTGCCCTGCGTATGCCTCCATCAGAAGCTGAGTCTTTTTTTTTTTATTTTAATAGAGGCATGTTTTATTTATTTGTTTGTTTGTTTGTTTTTGTTTATACATGCACTGGGTAGAGTCAGAAGCGCGGGAGGGTGAGAGAATTCACCAGAGCCAGAGTGGGGAGCAGAGCAGGCAGAAGGACAGAAGTACACTGCTGAGGGGAGCAGCGGGCGGCAGGAGAGGTCTGCGCGCCATGCGGGACCCTCCTCTGGTGGCCGGGGAGCAGCCGGGGATCGAACCGGCGCTGCAGAGGCTGCGGGCAGCCTCGCAACCCAGAGCTCAACCGCTGCGCCACCGGGGAGGCCCCAAAAGCTGAGTATTCCTTGCCTACATTCCTTTTTATTTTTTTAAAGATTTATTTATTTATTTATTTATGCATACAAGAGCTGAGGTACAGGCCAGAGGTTTGGGGGGTGAGAGGAAGACAGAGCGGGGAACAGAACAGGCAGACTGACTGAAACACACTGCTGAGGGGAGCAGCGGGTGAGACAGGAGAGGTCTGCTGGCCATGTGGGTAGCTCCCTGGCCAGGGGTCAAGCTCATGAACTCATGGTGCAGTGACTGGTGATAGCTTGATAGTGTTGAGACTGAACCCCTTGTGCCACCAGAGAGGCCCACAGTTCTGACCCATACACAGCTTCCAGGTGTTTCTCTTCCTGTCTCTGCTCTTTCTCCTTGGCTGTTTTCTCCTTATTTTCTGTATGTCTCTCTGCCTCCGTCTGTCTTTCCACGCCTCCATCAGCACCGCATCTCACACTGGGTGCCTCCAGTTCTATTTCATTTCTCTCCCTGTCTTAGGCTCACCTTCCCGTTTCTCTAATCCCTCCACGTAGACCAGCAGGCTCTGACCCCTATCGCCTTCTGTTGGCAAGAGAAGCAAGGGCCAGCCTGAGGGCTCCTGTGCACCCGACTCCCAGCGCCATGGACGCCAGCCCCCCATGCCCGCGGCCGCCCCAGCTCTCCCCACAAACTCCAGCCTCAGCTACTAAACCTGGTACTTGCCCACCCCTCCAGCCCGCGTTTCACCCCTTCCGAGAAGCCCTGGAGGTCGCCCTGTCCTGCTCCAAAGCCCCACTAGCCACCTCCTAGAGAGCCTGAGCTGTGAACCGGTTCCCAACAGGAGAGGGCCGTGCCTGGGAGTGGGCAGCACCCGAGGGGGCAGGGTCTGGGAGGGGCGGAGGGCAGGAGACCTGCAGATCCAGGGATCTGCTGGGGCCAAGCCTGTTTGGAGGCCTGTTCCAAACAGACCTGGGAGATGCAGCAGGGATGGGGCCTCTGAGAGCCTAGTCGAATGGAGGTAGTGCCTGCAGGAGCCTTAGCCGGCAGGACTGAATGGGGTGGGGTCCACCGGACCTGGCGGGGTGGAGCCTGCACACTCCCGGAAGGGAAAGGCCAGAGGAGCTAGTGGAGCAGCGCTGTTTGACCAGCGCTGAGTCAGGATGGAAAGGCCAGGATGGGGCCGACAGGTGAGGGAGGGCGGAGGTGAGTTGCACAGAGGGCAGGAACAAAGGAGGTGGCAGGGATGCAGGAGTGGGACTAGCAGCCAGGCCCTAGAGAAGTGCCGGTGGGGCCAGGGCCCTGATGGAGCTTAGCACTCTCTGCCTGCCCAGGGGCCACAACCTCATGCTAGCACTGCCCAGCACCAAGAGGCTTAACTGGCGGTGCTGCAGCTCTGCTACTACAGAAGGCGTTGGGGCCCCTGCAGGCCCAGGGACCGCACTTGCTGCCCAGGAGTGATTTCGCAGAAGAGGGCATTCCACCTCTTTGCCATGACTTGCACAAAAGGGACAGCTTTTTTTTTTCCTCCCATGAGACCATCTGCTCTGGAAAATTTTGTGCAGAGGGAAGGATTGACTCCTCAGGAGTTATTTGTGCTGCCCTTTGACATCTGCACCGTTAGTGGAGAAAATGTTTGTCCTACCCACGTGGGGGTTTGCAGGAAGAAAACTGCAGGATGTTCAGAGCCCAAGCCCATCCAGAAAAACCTTCCTCCTGACGCCCCCAACCCAAAATGAAAACTCATTTGTGGTTATTTTGTGGTTGCCCTTTAAAAAACAAAAAAACCCACCCCGCCATGCAGAACTGTATCTGCGGCAAGGAGACAGGGCATCTTTGCGGAGGCCAGGCCCCCCGGCCTCCACTCCCATCCCAGGCCCATGACGAGGTCCCGTGGAGAGGCGGGCCTTCACACACGGTGTCCAGAAAGACTTCAGTGAGAGGTCAGATTTCCACACCTTGTCAACGGGGTCAGTCCGGGGTGCTGCCGTGCGCAAGTGTGGGGGGTCCGTGGTCCTACTGCAGAATCACGTCCTCCACTCCAGCAATCCTTGTTAGCTTACTTCTTTCCCAAACCTGTCCCTCTACTCGTGACTCATCCCTCGACACCCCCACCCTTGTTCACGTACTATTCACAACCGGCTCCATTCTCCCCACCTGCTCACTCATCCTGTGAACATTTACTCAAGTCCACACTCTGGGGGACTCCCAACCCCAGGGCCTCTGGTTCTCTGGAGAGGGCGCTGCCCTTCTTCCGAAGGAGGGCCTCTGTGGCGGACGGCTCAAGGAGTACATACACAGGCATTTCAAAATTGGCTTTAAATACTCATCAGGGCACCGCTCCAAGGGGCTGGGGCAGAGCTTGGTACATGTGAGTGTGGGGCTGGGGTGCCCTGAGAGAGAAGGAAAGCCATCCGTTGGGCAGCTGGGGCGCCCCACCCCCACCCTGGGACAAAGGGGCAGAGCAGAGGTGCTCTCTGCAAGATCCCAGTGCCAACCAGGAGCCAGCCCTCCCTTGGAGGTAGATCATGGGGAGGAGCTCCCATGGAGGGGGTCACAGGCATCACTTCTTCAGTGGTACTGCTGATAGCTGGGGTAGCCCGAGGCTGGGGCCCCCTCCTTAGGGGGAAGCTGGCTGGGGTCCTCCAGGAACGGGGGTGCTAGAGATGGGGAGAATCAGGTGAGGGTGAAGGGCGGAGGGAAGGCACAGCGTCTCCCGCCTCTCCCCGACCAGTCTCCACCAGGTACTCACCGTTGCGGAACTGCTGGGCAGTATAGCGAGTGAGGAGGATGCCGACACCCTCGATGAGGGCCAACAGAATGCCCCCCATCATTGCCGAGCCTACCATGGCCAGTGGGCCACCTGGGGAAGTGAGGACCCAGGGAGAGAGAGGTCAGGGCAGGCAGAACAGGCTGGAAGAGGCGGGGGCTGGGAGTCAGGGCACTCACTGCGGGCGGCCAGCACAGCCCCAGTCAAGGCTCCGCTGGTGATGGAGTTCCAGGGGTCTTCCTTGCCCCGCAACCGCACCAGGCCACAGTCGATGGTGGAGAACAGGCCCCCCCACACTGCAAAGCTACCTGTAGGGGGACCGAGACCTAATTAGTGTTCCTAGGAAATTCTGAGAAGCCACCGCTTTGGGTCTGGAGACCTCCAAGGCCTGGATGCTCTGGCCGGAATGGGGGGGAAGCCCAGACACCGAGGCAGAGAGCAGAGACTCCTGGGGATACGGCCCATCTGCTCCCTGGGTAGTTGGCGGGCGTTTACAAGCAGAGTTGTCTTTTACATGTCTTTAACAGAGCAACTTCAATCTCCATGGCCACCACAGAGAACTGAAATTCTGATTTTAGTTTCAGGGAGAAGAAAATGGGTTAGGCAAGCGAGTTAACAATACGACTGTTAGAATGTTTACTGGGGCCTTACTGTGTGCCAGGACCTGCTCTAGGTGCTGTGTTATCTGCCTTCTGAAATGTTGAATGAGTTAGTATTATGAAAGTGCCTAGTGGAGCACTTAGGAAGTACTGTGCAAATCACAAAATGACGGAGGTAGTTACCGTACTGGCATCCCCGTATTACAGATGAGATTCACAGACATTAGACCACTAGCCCAAGGCCACACATCCGGGAAGTGCCAGGACCTGGGGTTAAGCTACAGAAATCCTATTAAATTGTCGGAAAATGTCACTGCCCCAGGAAATCCCAAGCAGAGCTGGGGTTGGAATCTGGAGCCTCGACTTGCAATCTAGACCCAAGGGAACAACCACCCCCAATGTTGCCATCACATCTCCTATGTTCCCCACCCCAAGCCTCTCACCTCCAATTTGGGGGGCTCGGATCCTCACAGCATTGACACTACCTCTCAATCGGTGTCGAATTCCCTGCGGGAAGTGAAGAGAAGTCAGCAGGGTTCAGGCCACTGGCAGACAGGGTTTCTAGCTTTTAAAAAAAAATTTATTTATGCATATGAGAATTGGGGTATAGGCCAGAGGTGTGGGGGGTGAGAGGATTCACCAGAGACAGAGTGGGGAACAGAACAGGCAGACTGACTGAAGTACACTGCTGAGGGGAGCAGTGGGCGAGACAGGAGAGGTCTGCTGTGCCATGTGGGTAGCTCCCTGGCCAGGGATCGAACTCGTGCTGCAGTGGCTGTGGAGAGCTTCATAGGTAGCGTCTCAACCCCTTGCGCCACCAGGGAGGCCCTAGTTTCTAGCTTTTAAGAGAGAGACAGGGGTGGAAGACCTGTTAGGGGGATCAGGGCAGACATGTGGAGAAGCAGCCAGGAACCGGGGGCTGGTGAGCACCTCAGCATGGTGTTCTCATTCATACATTCATGACTACTGAGCACCTATGTGCCAGGCACCATGTTGGGCTACAGCAGTAAACAAGGCCAACCTGGTCGCTGCCCTCTCAAGAGCTCACATTATAGAGACCAGGCCCTGAGCAAGGGCACAGCTACACAAGAAGGCTTCACACAGCAACACACACCCCTGAGGAAATGGGGTGAAGAGATACAACAGTAGCTGAAGGGTCAGGAAAGGTCTCTAAGGAAGGGGCACTGGTGCTGAGACTTGGAGTTGGAAGAAGAGGAGAGGGAGGAGTTGGAAGAAACCTGGGCAAAGATCCAGGAAAGAGTTACAGGAGTTGAAGGGAGGAACAGGCCTAGATATATCAGTTACGGAGACCTTGGCAAATAAATGGCACTTAAAACCATGGCATTTGATGATATGGGAAGGGGCTTGCAGAGAAAGAGACAGAATTGACTATGTAAATTTAAAAGCATTTTCTCAACTTTATGGAAGGTTGTCAAATTAAAGTCCTGTCACTTCTTTCTAGCCAGGTTTCGGACTCAGAATCTGTCTTTAGGTAAGATCTGTCTGGCTTTGCTCACACATTTAGGATTTGGTGATGACTGGCCAGCACAGCATTTCCAGAGGCACACCAGTTCCTTTGGGAGTGGGGCAGAGGCCACGTTTGCAGTGTGTCCCAAACCCCAGATGCAGGGGCTGGGTAAGTGCATGTGGTTGGCAGCCCCCGAGCAGTTTTCAGAGCAGTTTTCAGAGCATACATATCCTGTGCCCGCAAGGCAGGACCCCCGGGCCACCCAGGGAAGGCGGGACTCACAACAGGGGCGTTGCGGAAGCCTTTGATGGCCTGGAAGACTCCTCCGCCGATGACGCCCATAGTGAAGGCTCCACCACAATCATCCACAATTCGCCATGGGCTGCAAGCATTAAGGGGGAAAGAGGGTTAACGTGAGCCCCCACCCCACCCCCCTGTCGGCCCCCAGCCCCAGCCCCCGTCACATGGACTCTTTCCAACTGGGAGACTCCAATTCACCTCATATAATAACGAAATAGTCCCGTTATTTTCCCCTTCAATTAAAAAAGAAATAGTGCAAAGGGGAGGGGGGGAATGGTCGTCTGTCCTGGCCGCCGTTCCACTTCGCAGTCAACCAAGGAATCAGTCGACTGCTTTCCTACTATGGAACATGAAATGAATTCACACGCGCAGAGTGCTGACACGTCTGAGTGTTACTAGCTTAGTTTATTAAAGCGGGACGGGCCGCAAGCCAGCCCCCTCCGCTTCTCCGACAGTGAGCACGTCCAACCAAGCCCCGCCTTCCTGCCCGGGTTTTGACGGGGCACAACTGGGAGAGACCATGAACGGACCGTGGGGAGGATGCGGCCCAAATCCAGCGGCCCAGGCCCCGCCTGCACTCGCTAAAGGGACCTGGGAAAAACCACCTGGGGATTTCCGCTCAACAGCGCCCCCCCCCGCGCTGGAATGGACTCGACCAGCGTGCGTCTTCATTAACAAAGAAGGACTGCAGACACCGAGTTAGGGGGGACGTGGAGTGCTTCGCTCTGCACCGCACCTTCTCCACACACACATTGTGGCCCTTCTTAACGGAGCCTGGGTGGAAGGAACGCAGTGGAGGGGAACAGGAGACCACTTTCTAAGCGTCTCCTCCGTCTGCGACGTGGCGCTGTGTGGCCGGTGCCACCCCCGCCCGCCCCCACAGCCGGCCGTGGTGCCGCGGCCACAGTCCCGATGCCTGTGCCCATCGCCGTACCAAGGCTCCCGAGCGTACTCCTCCATGGCGCCGGCGTCCGGCCGCGCAGTCAGGCTGAGCCCCGCCGGCCACGCCCCTACTGAAACGTACACAGACGCCCAGCCTTCCACCTATCTCCGGACTATGATTGGTCACTGCACCGCACGTCAGGCCGGGGGCGCACTCTCATTGGCCGCTCCGGCTTGCGGCATCTGTTCCCTGCAGCCAGAGTGTCGCCCAGTTACCGCAAGGCTCGGGTAGAGACACCTCTTTCCCTGCTTTGCGAGAGGAGAGTCGTGTGTCCTGGTGTCTGTAGCAGATACAAGAGCGAGGTGGCCGGTCTGAAAGCCTTCCACTACGCGCGTGACTGTATTGGTAATGTTGGGGTGGGCGCACCCATTGGAGCTGGGGGGGGGGCTACGCTCTCCTCCCCCATCCTAGCACATTGGTTCCTCCCACCCGGCAGTCCGTGGGGGACGTTGGGTGAACCTATTCCTGGGGCGCGGGGGAGTCCTCCGGCGGTGGGCGGAGTCTGCCTGTGGGAGAGAACCGGGTCCTGGATCCTCGGGAGGAAGGTTGGTGAGGTTTCGGTTATATTACCACCTATCTCGTCCACTTTTTAGCACGCTGGTTCCCTCTGCCCAGTTGCTTGTGTGTGGGGGGAGGGGGCCGGTATAGGTGAGGGTCTAGTGGAGTACATGCTGGGAGGAAGTCCTGGGTTACATGATCCGGACTTGAATTCTCTCGTGAGCTGGTTTTTAGTGCGTGCGTCCTTACCTAGGTCTGTCTACTACCCGCCATGCCGCTGCCCGTTGCACTGCAGACCCGCTTAGCCAAAAGAGGCATCCTCAAACATCTGGAGCCCGGTGAGAAAGCCAAGAGCAGATGGGCCCACCATGTGCCAGACTTGATAGGCACTTCGTTGTTGGTACAGCCACTTGATAGCTAGCACCGCCTACTGCGCACCAAGCAGTAGGGTGGCAGGCATTTCGTTGTTAACCTGATGGATCCCGGACACGCACTCCTACCGCGTGGCAAGCACTGGTTTGGGGGGCACAAGGGAGAGAGCAATTTCATCCTTAATACTGACAGTGGATCCTATTTGGGGCCTCCCGTTTGCCAGGTTCAATTCATCCATCAATCCGTGGGATTACAAAGTATCTAACAGTAAAGGCCCCCGACATCTGCAATTCCCGGTGTGCCAAATAACGACAGGAGGTTGATACTTTGTTATTCACTACAGAAATACCATTATTTCAGATGGAGTCAGGTTCTATGCTGGTGATACTTTCCCTATTGTTCACCAGCTCTACCAGACCCTTAGTATTACTGTGTGCCTGTGCACTTAGAAGTTATTGTATGGTAGAATCTGGTGAATCTTTTGGGCCACGGTGTGCCAAACACTGCAAAATATGTCTTATTTTCACCTTATTGATCTATGACAAGCCTGTTGCATGCCAAGCCTAGATCTTATGGTTAATAATATTGATGATCACTTATATTTTAAACCTGTGGAAGATGAGGCCCTGTGCTGATGGTATTTCTTATTAACAACGCTAATTATAGCTGACATCTCTTTGGGGCCTACCTTGTGACTGGCACTGTGCTGCTAACAGATGCATTTCATAGATGAAATCTGTGATAGGTTTACTGAGGGCCAGATACTGCACTGATAATATACACCTTTGATTATATTCTACTGATATTAACTGACAAATATTGTAGGCTTCAGGAGCTGATTTAGTCAGAGCAGTGTTGGGTAAATTCCTTGCTCACCAAATTCTTGCTCCTCAATATACAGGGGTCAGAAACCCCCTAGTTTCCCAAGATTGGGAGCTTAGGATTTGGACCTATTTTCAAATAAACCCCTTGCTGTTGAAAAAACTCTTACCCAAAACAGATTTGGATAGCCTGGTGTCATATACTACCTGAACTCAGGAACTGAGTAAATGCGGATACGATCTATGATGAATCCCTGTTGAAACTCTGAAACCAGATAGGTTTGGGTATATCATCTTCTCTGAACTCCAAAACAGAAAAGATATAGGTAAAATTTGGGGTAAATCCCAATATTTTGATACTGGGATTTGGAAGGTGAGCAGTATCCGCCGTGGCTGATGAACTCGGTTGCATGTATGCACACTTCCTCCAGCCCCACGTGGTCCCTGCATGCGTGTCCCTCCCCAGTAGAATGCTCGCTAGTCTCCTCTTCCCTCGTCCTGCCAGAGCCAGAGGAAGAGATCATTGCTGAGGACTATGATGATGATCCCGTAGACTATGAGGCCACCCGGTTGGAGGGCCTGCCACCGAGCTGGTACAAGGTGTTCGACCCTTCCTGGTGAGCCTGGGGACATGGGGACACAGGGGAAGAGATCCTGAGGGTCCTCCCTGTGGGGTTGTGACATGGGCCAGTTAGAGGCAGAGGCTGGGGAGGCAGGAGCTGAGGCTGCGAGGGGACACGTGTGCTGACACTCCTTCCCTCCCTCCCGCCGCCCCACAGCGGGCTCCCTTACTACTGGAATGTGGACACAGACCTCGTGTCCTGGCTCTCCCCACATGACCCCAACTCCGTCGTTACCAAATCTGCCAAGAAGCTCAGGAGCAATAACACAGGTGAGTTGGCAGATCCAAGGGTGCCTCGAGTGCTTCTGGCAGGTCTCAGAGATGGGTCAGGTAAATGCTAGTGTGTCAGGGAGGGGCAGGTGAGATAGGCAGCCCCGGCCCCCGCCAGGGAAGCCGTTCATGACATGCTCCTGGGTCCTGATGGGAGAGGGTATAGGTCACCTTGAGGCTTTGTGTTCCCAGATGCTGAGGAGAAGTCAGACAGGAGCCACGAGAAGTCAGACCGGGGCCACGAGAAGTCAGACCGGGGCCACGAGAAGTCGGACCGGGGCCACGAGAAGTCGGACCGGGGCCACGAGAAGTCAGACCGGGGCCACGAGAAGTCTGACAGAGACCGAGAGCGTGGCTATGATAAAGTGGACAGAGAGAGAGACCGGGACCGGGACCGGGACCGGGACCGGGGATATGACAAGGCAGATCGGGAAGAAAGCAAGGAACGGCGCCACCATCGCCGGGAGGAGCTCGCCCCTACCCCAAGAGCAAGAAGGGTAAGTGGAACAGGTCTAGGACTAGGGGGAGGTGAGCAAGGTGCCGGGGCATACAGGGAAGGGAGCCCTCACTTTACTTCTTGTGAGCACAGCAACATGTCTTCCTGGGGTGGGGGAGCTCAGAGACCATATCAACTTCTTCTATAGCAGCAAGCCGGAAGGATGATGAGCTAGACCCCATGGACCCCAGCTCGTACTCGGATGCACCCCGGTAAGTGACAGCTCCTTACCAACCCATTTCCTCATGACTCACCCACCCCTTTCTTCCTCTATCCTCCCTCCATTCACCAGCAGAGGAGGGTTGCCTACCACATCCCACATTCCCACCCCCAACCCTGTCACCCCCAGGGGCACATGGTCAACAGGACTCCCCAAGCGGAATGAAGCCAAGACGGGTGCAGACACTACAGCAGCAGGGCCCCTCTTCCAGCAGCGCCCCTACCCATCCCCAGGGGCTGTGCTCCGGGCCAATGCCGAGGCCTCCAGAACCAAGCAGCAGGACTGAACCTTCACACGTCACCCCTTCCCTGGCCTTGAAGTTTTCAATAAAAACTTTGTCGGGGAATTAATGCCTACTGAGTCCTGAGCACTTATTTTCCTTGCATTTTTGAGGGTCCCCAACCCAAGCCAGCAAGATGCAAAACACATTTTATTTACAAAAACTCACCTACGAAATGGTGTGGGGTAGCAGGGGCTGGAGGCTGAAGTGGGTTCTGTCCATGCCCTCATTACCAGAGTTTAGTCACATCAGCCCTTGGTGGGTGGGGGAGGGGGTGGTGGGAACAGGGGGTTCAGTGTCTACCTCCTCCCACCCCTAATACTGATCAGAGTGTTTGGTCCCGGCTGGGCCAGGGCAAGAAGGGAGAACGAGGCCAGGCCAGCGTCTTCAATCCCAGCGGCTATGAACCCTTCACCTTGGTGAGCAACCTGTGGTGGGGGTGGGGAGGAAAGAAAAACAGAAAGCTGGGGTGGGCTGGCAGGCGGCGTCCTGAGCAAGCGAGGGCAACAGCAATGAGGCTGGTAGTCCTGGGGTTAGTAACAGCCCACGCGGAGAGCAGGTCCCTGGGTCAGAAAGCTACACGTGGACTAAATAAATACAATATCTTTATTTGGCATTGGGTATCCTGATACTTGTTCATTACAGTTCCTTAGAAAACCAAAAAAAAAATCAGAACAAATTAATCAAAAATAAAGATCCAACGGCCCTATTTACATTGAGCAGTGACAGCCCAGGCATCGCCCATGCACACACACGCGCTCACATACACTCCTGGGGGACAGTTAAGGGGTTAATAAGCTTTGGGAAGTGCAAGGGGTAGGTTCCACATTTCAGCAACTTTAAGACACGCCCTCCCAGGAAGTAAGGGTGCCTCAAAAGGCCAGTGGGGTATCAAGTGTGGTTGGCAGCTTCCCTGTCCTCTCAGGATGGTGCAGAGAACCCTGCACTCTGCAACTGACTGTCCTAGCTTAGATTCATTGAGATTCAGCCACTTCAAGGATTTCTCCTCCTTGCTTTTCCCACACCCTGGATCATCATCTGATTACACCACAAATCCCCAAACCACATACACACACACAAACAAAAACAAATGGCCCCTGCTGCACCCTCCCCTGAACAGGCTGATACAAAAATCCCAGCTCTTGCCCCTGCCCCTTCCACTCTCCTTGGGCACTCACTCACAAGAGGCCCATGTCCAAGGGTCTCTGTGTCAGGTTAGCTGCCCCAAGGCCACAGAAAGACCAAGCTGCTCACGTGATCCAGTGTGGTTGGGAGGGAGGCCGCCAGTTATGGGAAACAGCCCCACAGGTAGGCATCAGTCATAACTAAAAAGCTGTAGGGTTTTTGTCCAACTTATCCTTACAAAGGTGGAGGGCTGGCCAGGACGCTCCCAGCATGAGAGAGGACACCTCTGGCACAGGGGGCAGACAAAAAAGGCCTTGATTGACACTACCCCCAACCCTGTCCCAAGACAGATTTGAATGAGGCAGAGGCGGCAGCTCTAGAAACCCCTCGGGGCAGGGAGACCGGCCTATAAGGAAGGGTTCACTTGATACCCTGCCATAATGAAGTCTCTATAACCTTGGAGAAGACTTCCAACCCCGGAGGAGCTGGGCCCCAGTGCCCACCTGGGTCCAGCAGAGACCCGCACCCTCCACCCAGTCCCCCTCCCTGTCGTCCCCCCACTGCCGCCAGCCCTCACTTCACCAGCACTGACTTTGGCAGAAAGGGCTCCATGCTGAGGTCTCCACGGTGGGAAGACAGCTGTGGTGGCGGCGGCTGCCCTGGAGGCTGCTGGTGAGTGCAGGGCCCAGAGGCGGAGGTGGAGGTGGAGGCAGAAGCAGAAGCTATGGCTTTGGCTGCACCTCGGGGAAGGCTATAGAGGTAGACTGCACCGATGACAAGCCCAGCGCCAAGGGCAAACAATGGGTCCACGTGGAAGCCAAAGAGGCGGACGGAGGCAACAGTGGACAGCACAATGGACAAGGAGGTGGCGAAGCCCTTGAGGATGTTGTCAGCATACTTGACGACAACAGCCACCAGTAGCCCACCAAAGGCCTGGTTGAGTACCACACCCCAGACAGCAGGAGTGTAGCCAAAAAAGAAGCCACGGTGGGCCACGGCAGTGCCCTCAGCCCACCAGAGCCCCACCAGGCCCAGCGCTGTGCCAAAGAGGCCCAGCTGCAGGTTGCGCAGCCACACTGAGCCCGAGCTGCCTTTGAGGATCTTCTCAAAGTAGACACCTGCGAAGCCCGAGGAGAGACAAGAGGCCACAACAGCTGCCAGGCCTGCCCCAGGGTTCTGATCCAGTGGCCGTGGGCCTCCGCCACCAGCTTGCTGGGCCTGGACAATGGCGACTCCAGTGAAGAGGAGCAGCAGCGAAGCCCACTGCAGCCGGGAAAGGCTGCGGTTCAGCATGAGCACGGAGAACAGTGCCGTGGTCAGGATCTTCAGCTGGTATGTCACCTGTGAGTGGCATGTGGAAGACACTGAAGGCTGTCCCTGGCCCCGACATGTACACAGGGGAGGCAACACCCGCCATGGGCCCCCAGGCTTAAGGGAGGGACAGAGTGGGGTGGATGGTAAGCAAAACAGCAAAAACAGCCATCTGCTGGCCACTGACCGAGGTGTGGTTGTTAAATGGCTCTGAGGTACCTCCCGGAAAATACACAGGAGGATGGCTGTATGAGGAAGTCGCAGGCCACACCCAAGTCCACACCCCAACCCTGTCTCCTGGCTTTGCAGTGGGGGACAAAGAACTGGTCTGAGCCCGGATGGCATCACCTGTACAATATGGCTGACGCACGTGGAACGCCTCACACAGCACATAGTGTATGAACGGTAGGCTGTGATGAGGGAGGTCTTGGTAAGCATGAATCAGCCACAACCCTGCCAGCAAACATTTCTATGGCCCTTACTGTTCTGCCAGGTGTGGGTCTAAGCACTTCACATGAAGTTGTTAGGTTAATACTCACGTATAAAGGGGGCACTATTGAAATGTCCCATTTAAAGATGAGAAAACGAAGGTATAGAGAAATTAAATGACTTGCCCAACATCGCACAGCTGCGAAGTAAGCAGAGATGTGATTTGAACCCAGGTAGCCTGGCCCCAGAATCCAGGCTCTTTAGCCATTTTACAAGACTGCCTGCAAATAGCCAAGAGCTTATCTATCACTAGCCCAGGGCGCCTTATTTCAATTAATCATCCCAGCTACCCAGTGGGTAGGTATTTCCATTCCATTCCCGCTTCTCTCACAGATGAGACTGAGGTGGAGGGGGGTCCAAGTATATCCCAAATGTGATACAGCCCCTGCTCCCTGAAGAACCCCTCCCTCTAATATCCTGTGTCCCCGGGCCCAGTCAGTTCCTCGGGGACTATGCCAGGCATGAGGCTCACCTGGAAAGTGGCAGCTGGCAAGTTGGAGATGGCAACATACTGGAGATTATTCTGTAAGGTGTAGATGAGAGAGGGCACTGCAAGCTTGAGTGTGTCCACATATTGCACCAGGACAGCCTCATGGAGGAAAAGAAACAGGTGCTTCACGTTACCTAGGCGGGGAAGCACAAAGGGGAGGTCTCACACTTGAGCAACTTGAAGACTGCCCCCTACCAGAGTCCTCTGCAGCACCAACTAAGATGGAAGGCCCGAAGGCCCACCACGCCTGGTTCTGTCTCTCCCCACCATGCTCTTGAACAAGGCCTGTGCTCTCAGCTTCCCTACAGTACAACCCTGTCTTCAGGAGGCTCTGCGGACACTCAGTTTAACGGACACGAAAGAATCATCCTTAACAGTGCCTGACAGTCACAGCCATATTCCACTCCTCACGTACCTCCCCGGCAGAGGCGCGTTCAGGGCATGCATGCAATACGTGTTTATACCATGACGTAACCAGCACTAACTAGGAGCTCACAGAGTAGAAGCCCTACAAGTGTAACGGGAAGGCTGTTTACCAAACAGCAAAACTTTTTGACTAGACTTCTAGGTGGAGTCCAGCCCAGCTCCTTCCTGGTCTGCAAGCTGCCTGAGGTGGGGCCATCTCCCACTCAGCCACACTTTTCCAACATCCACGAAGGCGCTGCCCCTGCTGCATGGAAGAATGCAGGTGTGAGGACCATTAAGTAGAATATCTAGCTGGATGGGGACAGCTCTCATCCCAAGACTGTCCACCTGTGTCTACGCAGGCATTTCCTTTCATAATTTTCACAGACCTTTTCCTCTCTAAAGCAGCAGCTCTTTGCCCCCCTTTCTCCCTTTCCTAATAAACTTGTCCTTTTACAAATATTTGGGGAAAAAAGTTTAGCTGGGACCTGCTCCAATCAACACATGGGAATGGTTTCCTAAATTATAAAGCCTTTGTAACATGCACCTCACTCACTTCTTTGCAGTTCATCTTTTAAGTCTCAGCTGAATGTCACCTCTCAGAGAAAATCCCACAGCCACTGCACAGGGTTATGGCAGAACTGCTGATCCTCACTCACAAAACCCTGTCCTTGCCCTTGACGGCATTAACCCAGGAGTAATTACTGGTTTTCAGCCCACTAACTAATTTGCCTGGGCCCAGAAGTTTTGGTGCTCAAAATTTTCCAGGTGTCAGAAAGGTGGTATGTACACCATATATTTCACCTAACACACCCCACATATGTGAGGCTCATGCCATTACCGAGCACATGTGTGTGTATTTCTGCAGTGATCTGTGTAATTATTCACACTGAATGGAAAAAATAAAAAGCACAAATATACAAATGGCCCTAAATCAAGTCAGGTCAAGTTTTACCACCAAAGTAGTTCAGGAAAAAAAAAATTGGGGTGGGGGTTTGACGTTGCAGATAAGAGGTGAAGGCCGGTGATCAAGGTCTCTAGTCATTTGTTTCTCCCCATCTAAACTACCAGCCCTGAGGGCAAGGTGTGCTCTGTGCACTGCTAGTGCGTCCACAGCCGTGTTTACTCTCAGAACCAAGCAGGGACAGAGCAGGTGGCTCCTGAACTGCTGCCTCCCAGGGCCCCGGAACTCATGAGTGGGTGAGGATGCTTTCTGAAAAGTAAACAGAGGGCAGAGCCCAGTGATGCATGTCTATTCTTTATAACTCTGAGGCTTTTACAGAGAAATGACTGGGGAACGTTTTAAAGAAGGCAGCCTCTGGGGAGGTATTTAAATTAGTAGATAAATCCAACTTATAGGAACACTCGAGGACAGATAATGTTAAATGATACCAGAGGGAGGCAGTGAGCAAAATCCAGACTACCCAAAGTCTGTAAGACAAGTGATGTGATTTCTCCAACAAATTCACTGTAGAAAGAAAAAAAAAAAAACAGCTGGAGGGGAACCCAGAGGTTAGCAGACTTAGAAAACATCAAGCAATTACAAAACACAACCTTCTACAAAGCTGAGCCCAACTAACTTTAAAAACTCTCTGAGGAGTGGGAAGAGCACAAGGGACTATGGAGATGGTGAGCGGATGAATGGGTGGTGGGAATTCTATGGGGACTACCCCTGAGAGGAGAAATCAAATGTACAAAAATGAACAATGATGTAAAACATATACAAATAAATTATATAAAAATAAAATAAAAAAATGGACATTTTGGAAGTCACAAGTTTGAACAATGACTGGCTATTTGATTATTTTATTAAGTTTTAGAATTATTAATTCCAACATTTCTAATTTTGATGTATGCTCTTTTAGATACTAGGCATTTTTGAAAGTGCCAAAATATTTACTTAATAAGGGGGGATTTGCTTCAAAGTAATCCTTACTTCATGTGGAGCATATAAGGCAGGCAACATAAGGCCCGGGGAAGGGAGGGAGGCAAACAGCGAGATTGGCAATGAATAGAGAATCACTGATGCTGTTTAACGGCAAATGGCCACGAGTTCATAATTGTTGAATCCGGGTGATGGGCCCATGCATATTTTACTATTTTAATACCCTCTCTGATTTTATGGTTGAAGTTCTCCATAATGAAAAATTAAAGAGAAATAAACAATCCCCAAGTTAGAGTCACCCGTTACCTCATGGGCACAGACTATCTCTCTCCTACAGTCCACACAGGCCAGCTCCAGGGGGGCTAGGGGTATAAAAGTCTGGATGCAGCTACAGACGCAGAGATACCTCTGCAGCAAGCCCTCCATGTGGGCTTGAGTACACACACAGAGTCCCACCCACCGACCCCAGTGCAGCGCCCCTCCCTGGCTCATACCCCTCTTCTGTGCAAAGAGCAGCAGCAGGCAGGTGAGACCTTTGAGCACTTCAGCCATGACCACAGCTGTGGTGGCAAAGAAGCGGTCCCCCGGCAGCGTGCGGGCGTAGCGGATGCTGAGGATGAGGGAGGCATTCTGGACCACCAGCACGGCTAGGGATATGTATTTGAGGCGTCGGTGAGCTGTAGGGAATGGAAGGAGCAAGGGGGAACAGGGGTCAGAAGCTGCTGGGGCACAGACACACCATCATCCTCCCCTCACCTTTCTCAACCTATATCCTCTTAGACAATGCCTCTTCCTCCTTCTGCCTGCCTATCCTGACCAAAGAGGGCCTGACCCTGGCCTGCTTCCACAGCCTCCACCACAGGCAGCCAGGAAGAGATAAGTGGGCCCCACCCTGACCAGCCCATACCTGGAATCTTTGCAGAGGTGTTAAGAAATGGCTGGGGCGGGCCCTGGAACCGACCCCAGCCCTCTTGCTTCCTCCCTAGCAAGAACTCTCCCTCATACAGAATATCAAGCACATTCTCAATATTCACTGAGTGCTGACTGTGTGCCTATCACTGGGCTAAGGGATCTTTATGGATTACCTCAACAGACCATATATTGCTCCAATCTTTTAAGTAACTATAAAGATTCCCATTTTATGGACGAGCAAACCTCAGATTTATATGAAATGATACTTCTAATTTAATGAGGGACTGTCCCATGTGAAAATGATATCCCAGTAGACGGAATGAGACCACTGTATAAGGCATGCCCAAACCCCTAAGGAACACTTTTTTTTCCCACCTAAGAAATTATTCCATTTCCTCATATTCTCTCTCCAACCCCTCTCTCCTATCAAGATAGATTCCTCTTGACCCAGAATGGTCTAGCAAATAGAACAAATAATTCCCCAGTTTTCAGAGAATTGAACCCTAAATAATGAATGGTTACTCCACCATTCTGGGTGCCTCAACCAAGTAAACAAGTATTTCCCTATACTCCATATGGTCCAGTCATCCTCTCACCACGGCACCCCCATCTCCAGTCAAGGAGTTATTATTTTGTTTTACTGACATTCACAATTCCTTCCCACTTTAAGGAACTCCCCCCACCCCGACGTCCTTTATCTGCCATATAAGGAGGGAAGGACCCTTATATTCCAACATACAATGAACTCTATCTCCATTACGAAGGGACCCCCAGAATGAGCTCCCCATATGAGGAAAGACATTCCCATCCTCAAAATGGACACGTTAGCAGATAAGGAATGGCCCGCCCCACCCTAACTCACAATTGCTGACAGTCCCCTTTATAAGGAACCATCTCCAGAATACCTCTCCCTACGGTAAAGGACGAACTCTCCCACCCTCAGAATAGCCTCTCCGTGCTGTAAGGACGGACCCCAAACACACTCAGAATGGTCGTAGCCTCCCCAAAAGGAAATACGCGCCATCAGACTTAGAACGGTCTCTACTCTCCATATGGAGAAGTGACCCCCCCATGCCCTCCGAATGGTTTCTTCCCCGCCCCCAACACATCATGCTCCGTTTCGTCCTCCCTATCCGATCTCACGCCTGCCACACACGCATACACACAAACACATACATCGGTCCATACCGGAGGCTCCCACTCGCTGGTGAGGAATCTCCCTGCCCGCGCAGCCCTCGCGACCCCTCGCCCCACCATCCCAGCCATTCTCACCGACACTGGCGGTCCCAAGTTGCAACGCCCCCGCAGAAACCGCCCCCGCCCCAGGCGCCGCCGTGGAACCACCAGACCCAACCGCTGCCATGTTGGCATCTGCCTGGCCCGTCCCCTCGGCAACAGTCCACTTCCGCGCCCGTCACTTCCGCTTCCGTGCCTCCGGGTGGGGGCAGGGCGGGAGGCGGGGCTGGCCAAGCAGAGGCCTCCCTCCTTTGCTTAGCAGGGCAGCGTCTAAGCCCGAGGCCTCAGGTTAGTCAAATTCACGTCGGACCGGGAAATCCAGCAGCCTCAATGGCCCATTTCCGTCACCAGACGCGGCCTCGTCTTCATTGATCCCACAACCCCCCCATCACCCGCCCATCCTCTCATCTCACTGGTTCAGCGGTCCTTCTACTTTCTGGTTTCTTTATTGGCATTTTCTTCAGATGCCCTTTCTGCATCTAAACTCTTAGGTCTTTCCAAGTTGGACATAAGTCCCTTTCTTTACTCCTCTCCTTGCCCCCTGCCATAAGTCCGCGGGCATCTGGGAGGCAAATGAAACCGGGAGGGAGTGGGGGAAAGTAAAGGGGGTAGTGGAAGAAGCAGCAAGCTAAGCTAGTGTATAAAAGCAGAGTTCAGAATAAACAAATGCAAAGGCATTGGCTCTCACGATGCAGAAGTGAGAAGGGAACAGGAAGGCCTGCAGGTGAAAGGATTACAGGTTAGCTTTTATAGACAGTGCAAGATGGTACAGTCGAGGTTGGGACAAGTAAAATAGACTAGGGCAGGGGAGTCAAGAGTTGGCGAGATGAAGAGGTTAGAAGTTTAAGGCAAAATGGGCAACTACACCCTGGACCTTAGAAAACAAGGGCTGGGCAGATGCCTGTCAGCACTTAACCCTCCCCTACCAGCTCCAGTTCCTGAAGGGATTTGTGATTGCTTCCCCTGGAATTGGGAGAAAAGACTTTCTTCTGCCTCTGGGCTGCAAGTTTTCATTTGGGGCTGTGTCCCATCTTCCATGTCCAGTCTAACAGAGAGCCCTCTGCACATACTGGGCACTACCATAAGAGCTGGGAAGGAAATCTGTTTTGTGGTTCTGCTTGAACCCCTAAAAGATCTTTAGAACGACACCATAAAACTGGGGCTTCCGGAGGGAAAAGGAGAAATCCAGTCCATTCATCTCCCGCTTGGCTCAGCAACAGCCGAGATTTGTAGATGCTCCACAAATGTCTTGCTGCATCTACAAATGGCCAGTCACTTCTGATTCTATTACATTTATTAAATAGTGAGTTTCCACACATGGCTTTAAATAATCCAGGTAGGGGGAAAAGGGAGAGGACACAGTTGGAGCTCCCATCCCCAATACATAAGTATTTACATTTCAGCAACTGGACAATCCTGGCTCAGAAGGCGGCAGCAAGTATCTGAAAAAGGTGGAGGGGGGAGGGCCCAGAACAAACAATAAAACTTATTTCCCCCACCCCATTCCCCCAAAAAACCATCCACCCCATCCTAGTGGACTCTGGCGGTGTCCATCTCCCATTCCTTCCCTCACCATGGAAGTAGGGTTTTCCTCACCAGAATAAGAGCACTTGGGATAACAGAGTAGGGTCCCCTCACACACACAAAAAGCCCTGGGTTAACAATAGGGCATTACCTCTCCCAGATAAACCACCCTGGGTTGAGGTAGGCAAGCAGCTTGACTGAATGTGTCCTTAAGCTAAGAGAAAGGGTCCCTTTGCTTTATACTTAAAGAGAGAGAGAGAGAGAAAGAGCGCTGCTGGGATATTGAAAGGAAAGCACCCTTGCCCAAGTCAGCATTTTAACTAAGTCTGTGTGGTAGTAGCAGGAGGTGCAAATCTAAGGGGCTACAACAGAATAAGTCTTGGGGCTCAGAATGGAAAATAACTTCAACAAAATAAACATCCCTAGCAAAATAAGTAAGGAAGTCCCCCCACCAGAATAAGAGACCACACATTCTGGGAGGAAGATTCCTTAGAAGGATTGGGATAGGGACTGGGCAGACTTGGCTTATGTCTTCTGACCCCTGATCCCCAATCTGACCCTAATAACACTGGATTTTTAATGACCTGTAAAACCAGATCAACACATGTCCACCTATCCCTGTGGCATGAGCTTGGGATGGCTATTCCAACTAGTGGGGGCCTGGCCAGGACTAGGGCAGCAAGGACCAGGCTAAAGGGGTGGAACCCCCTTTGGAGGCATTGAGGGAAGCCTCCTCAGCTGTTGCCTGCATCCAGGGGTCCAACAGGATCTCCTCCAGTGAGGGTCGGCCTGAGGGCTTGGGGGCCAGGCACCGGCGGATTAGGGCACAGCAGTCTGTAGGTCAGAAGCATATAAGAGGTTAGCAGTCAGTTGGGGGTACCAGTCCCTGAAAGGATGACATCTGGGCTTGTATTGGTCCTCACCTGGGGAGACATGGGCCGGGAAGTGGAGCTCAGCCTCAAGGATCTCCTGGTCCTTCTCGAAGGGAATGTCCCCACAAACCATGTCATAGAGGAGGATACCCAGTGACCAAACAGTGGCCGGGAGCGCATGGTACTGGTGACGGGAGATCCACTCTGGGGGGCTGTACACCCTTGTCCCTGCATGCAAGCCAGAGGTTAGACTACTCTCTGATAATGTCCTCCTACCAGGAAGTATGGTCCCCCTCATCATAACAGGAACTCTTTAAAAGCAGAAACAGAGGCCTTAAGATTACAGTCCCCTCGACTGCATCAAAACATAAAAGAGAACACTCAAGATAACAGTATCCCCACACCAGAATAAGAGCCCCAAAACAAGGTCAGGGCACTGTCAGAAACTGGACTTAATCAGAGGGCAAGGTTCGAGAGTCCCCAATATTAGAAATTAATTACAGTCTAAAGGCACAATATAGATCAAGTGCCTAAAGGTCAAGAGGTCATAAAGATAAAAGGTAAAAAAAAATCCCCCCACTGAAATTTAGGGAAGCCTTACCATCAAAGTCAGTATAGGGTTCATCATGAAGCAGGGCGCCAGAACCAAAATCAATTAGTTTGGCACAGCCCCGGCGGAGATCCATTAGAATATTCTCATCCTTGATGTCACGATGGACAACTCCACGGGCATGGCAGTGCCGAACGGCTGCCACTACCTGACCAAAGAGGCAGCGGCTTCGGTCTTCACCCAAAGGGCCCTGTTCTGTGATGTAGTCAAAGAGATCCTGGGCAGGCAAAGGCCGCTCAAGGACCAGCATGAAGCCTTCTGGTGTCTCAAACCAGTCAAGCAGCCGGATCACACCAGGGTGTCCACCACCTGCACCCACCTTCCACAGCAGTGCGACTTCCAGTGGACATGTGACCGAGTCTGACTGTTGGGGGAAGCAGGGAGAAAAGAGAACAGCTATGAGGATCAGTACTTCTGATGCTGACTTCGCACCTGACCTTAAATCATAGTCCCTTAGCTTTCAGAGTATGTGGCCTTGAGCAACCCACTTCTTCCCCTTGAACTCAGTTTCCTCATCTTAAGGGCTGAAACTCATACTGCCACCGGAAAGGTGAATGGAGCCAAAAGCCTTCACCTATTAGGCATGTATTTGCAGCTCAGTAAATATTTGAATATATCAAAGAGGATTTTAACAAAAGGCCTCTTGCAGAAGTAGCAACTGGTGAATACAATTATGTAACATTTTATCTGTTTGGTCCACTGGCATTTTTAAAGATACTAGAAAAAACACAACACATAGTAGGTACACAGTAAACGTCAAACAGATGAAAGCACTTTATAGCATAGGATACAGGTGAGAACACTCAATAAAGAAATACTATAGGGGGCCTCCCTGGTGGCACCAAGGGGTTAAGTCGCAGCACTATGAAGCCATCTGCAGCCACTGTAGTATGGCACAATTTCGAACCTGGCTGGCCAGGGAGCTGACTACATGGCGCAACAGACCTCCCCTGTCTCACCTGCCGCTCCCCTCAACAGTGTATTTCAGTCAACCCGTCTATTCTGTTCCCCACTGTGTCTGGTGAATCCTCTCACCCCCGGCACCTCTGATCTGTATCCTAGTTCTTGTATGCATAAATAAATAAATCTTTTTTTTTTTAAAAGAAACACTACAGGGGCCTCCCTGGTGGCACAAGGGGTTAAGCACCGCACTATGAAGCAATATGCAGAAGTTTGATCCCCGGCCGGCCAGGGGGCAACCCGCATGGTGAAGTAAACCTCTCTTGTCTTGCCCGCTGCTCCCCGCAGCAGTGTATTTCAGTCAGTCTGCCTGTTCTGTTCCTCACTGTCTCTGGTGAATCCTCTCACGAATTCCCTCCGCCCCACCGCCCCGCATCTCTGGCCTGTACCCCAGTTCTTTTATGCATAAATAAATAAATCTTAAAAAAAATAAAGAAACACCACAACTGTGCAGTGGTTTGTCAGTTCGGTGACATAGCTAAATAGTGTAATAGTGCCTGGTAACAGGGGAGGGCGCAATGCATTCTTGTTAAATAGGTGAAAGGAATTAGTAGGAAACGACTTAGCAGGAAACAAGCTCTCTCTATACATTTGTTAAAGAGATGAAGGAATTGGCACAAAGAACTGTTACCATATGGTATTTTATCACTGTCACCAAGCACCTAGAACTGTGTTGAAATTACTTAGTGGGAGTTGGAACACGGCACACTTTTGTGATGAAGCAAAGTCTGAGGCATATAATTGACAATCAGTAAGGAGCATAAATGCTATGGGCCACAAAAGCCCACCGGCTGTAGAAGCCCTGCGCGGGAACATAGATTGCCAGAAGCCGGCTCCTGCCCGAGGTGAGGCCCTCTACCGGCCAGTACATGTAGTTACACAGCCGCAGACGGGTTTTCTCACGGTGAAGATCTCGCTACTGAGCAGGCGCGCGCCTTCTCCCTCAGGTCTCCAAGGCCAGAGCAGTCTCCTCAAACACCGCCAGGGGGCGCTCCTGCACCCCCGGCTTGCCCAGACCCGCCCTGTTGTCCGTTGGCGCTCTTAATGGCAGTAGAGAAGCAGCCACTGTCACTATGGCAACCAATGACCTCTGCCCTTCTTTCCCCACCAGCATGCCCTGCGGGCAGCCCCTGAGGCAATGTTTCGAGGGAGGAAGAGAAAGGAGGCTTGGAGGGGGAGGATCCAGGGCTCTAGGGAAACTGATGTGAGTCAGAAGCGTATGGAGGTGTGGATGCTACCACAGGGGAGTAAACAAGGGTTGGTAGGAGTGCTCTCCTCACCGTTACCGGGCCCAGAGAGTCACACAAGCCATTTAAAGGGATGGGGGGCGTCTGTCGTCAGAAATGGCGTCGCCAGGTCAGGAGGGACTCCAAAGATACTCACCAGGGGGGACCAGCCCAGCACACGGTTCCGGGGGATCACTTTGATGGCCACCTGGAGAAGAGGGCTGAGATGAGGGGTCCAGTAGAGGACCCTCTGATCCCTACCAGTCTTGACCCTCGACCTAGTCCTTTTGGTTTCCACCATACCGCCACCCATAATGAGCTGGGGCTCCTCTGCCCTCCAATTCTGAGAATCAAGTTCACCTCTCCCACCAACCATCCTTAGCCCTGGGCTCTCCCTTATGAAGCTTCGGGAACCCTCAGCCCAGAGTTCTTAACATCCTCACACCTCAAGCTCTCGATCTTCTCAACTAGGACACCCCAACTCCGTTCCGGGGTCCTGGTCCTCACGCCTCCTCCACACAGGATACCTGAGTCCAAAACCTCTCAAATCTCAGCTCTGGGCCCCACCTTTTTACACATGCAACATCCCCCGATCTCAGGGTCTAGAATCCTCATGACCCCCACTCCTCAGTCTCACTTCCCTGGACTTCCAGAAACCCCCCGTTATTCTTCACAAATTTAATTAGACCAGCGCGCGCGCGCACGTGCGCGCACACAGCAACCCGAAGCGTGGCCCTCATGACCCTACTACAAACACATTGCAGGCTCGCTCCCCGGTCAATTAGCATCTCAACCCGGGACTTCCGCTCCCGCCACACCACCCACCTGACCCTCCCCCAAGACCCTCGTGGTGGGTACCTGAAGACGGTCCGTAACGCGGTGTCCTGCGAAGACGGTGCCAAAGCCCCCCTTACCCAGGACAGGGCCGAGTCGGTACTCAGCTTCGAACGCTTCCCGACCCTTGCCTCCTACGCAAGGGGAGGCGAGGAAGTCAGGGTGGCGGCGTGCTAAGCCGGGCAGTGACCCCCTACCGCGCGCCCCTCCCCCCTCTCCTCCCGCCACTTCAGCCCGCCTGGCCTGCTTGCAATAGGGGAGCATCTCACCTGGCGGCAGCGTGGGGGTCGCGGGGAGCCCCTGCACAGGTTTGGTCAACATGGAGGAGGAGCTCCGCAAATTGAGCCCGCTGAGCCCGCAGGGCGTGGATGCCCGGGGCAGCGAGGTCGGAGAGCCAGGACTGGGGGGCGCCAGGGTGGAAGGAAAAGAAATTGGTGGCCCAGAAGCGCCTGCAAGCGGCGCAAGACTTAGATTCGCCGCGTGCGCCAGCCCCAACGCTACTGAGCCGGGGCACGCGCCTCCCGAGAGTCGCCCCAGCGACGGCCCCGCCCACTTGGCTTTGATCAATCCGGACGCGGCACCTGCTGTACCCCAGCCAATCAGAGCCAATCCTTATTTGCATACCACCCTCAACGTTTCAAGTACCCCCTTATGCAAATACATGCCCGGATCTTCCGGGCGGGCGGGGCCTGGATGCAAATGAAGGGGGTGCGCGCGAAGAGGAAACTGGTTCTGGGAATCCCTTTGCAGCAACCGCATTTGTTTTGGTTGTTGCGCAGAGGTTTTTTTTTTTTTTTTAAATATATGTGTGTATGTGTATATATAGATATAAACTTAAAAAAAGACTGCACCGCCTCCTTTCCTAGGAAGTTGGTTTGCCGCCGCTGCCTCGAGATTAGCGCGGAGATAGCAGGCCCAGTTTCTAAGAATCCAAGCCTGTGACCATCTCCAAGACCACAAGATCTCAGCACCAGGGCCCTCCAGGTGACCGACGGTCTCTGCCCCAAAGCTGAAGCCAAGGATCCTGGAAGAACCAATCCAGCTTCCAGGGAGGGATAACACCCCCCCCACAACCCCCCCACCCCGCGGAGGACACATTGGTTAAAAGCAGCGTTCCCAAGCACAGAGGCAGCAGCTCGTGGGGTGTTTTTGCAGTTCTTAACCTTAGACCTGGCTAGACCTGGCCCAGAGCCCAGTCAGTAGGTCCAGAATCTGGAATGGCGGGGGTGGAAGCAAACCAGAGTGCTGGCGGCCTGAGGTGTCCTTCTAGATGAGAGGGACAGGGACTGAGAGAGCTAGAACAGGGACTGCTAGAAAGGTTATAAGAGTACAAATTTGGAAAAAATAGAGTCCTCACGTCCCAGGACGGTAGACGTGTACTCCAAAAACACAAAGAAATACAGTAGTCCCCATACCCCTTATTCTTTATCCTGGTCAACTGAGGTCTGAAAACAGTGTTTTGAAAGAGGGAACACATTCATATAACTTTTATTACAGTACATTTATAATTGTTCTATTTTATTACTGCTTATTGTTAATCTCTTACTGTACCAATTTTTAAAATAAATTTTATCATAGGCATGTATGAATAGGAAAAACAGCATAGTTTGGTACTATCTGTGATTTCAAGCATTTACTGGGGGTCTTGGAATGTAACCCCCAAAGGGGAAACTACTGTACCATGTGAGATATATACAAACGAGTCATGTCAGATACATTCACACATAAGACAGACATGCAGACACCCGCCATCTTCTGGCATGGTGCCAGAAAAAGTTAAGTCCCAAAATGACACTGGGAGACATATCACTACAGAAGGTCAGGCACTCGACTCACATAGATTTACACTGTCATGTGACCATGACCAGAAATGTCCTCTGCTACACGGCCAGAATTTGTCACAAAGACACTGGCACCATCAGAAATGCACTGTCTCAGAAAGGCTTGTACTGTCCACAAAAGGAGAGATCCAAAAGCCATTGCAGGAAGACACACAGATGCTCCATGGACACACACGCATTGCTCCAAAGGCAGACATACACTTAGGTGATAGAGGCACCTCGACAGTGTCACAGACTCAAATAGACCAGGTCTGTCTCTCTCTCTCTCACACACACACACACACAACCAGTAGACATGCAACACTGTCACTGAAACTGTCCAGAAATAGCTACTCAGAATCTGTCACAGGAATACAAACGGACATGCATACCATCAGAAACAAACCACAGATGCACTGTCACAGACAGACCCACGCAGACATGCACTTGTCTCAGAAACAGACACAAACTGTCAGAGCTAGAGTCCCACACTCAGTCACCATCTGACACACCTGGAAACAAGCCCTCGTCACACACAAGTGAGATACACATGAAAACTTGGACTCACCAGTCACAAACATAGTCAACACCCAAAAAGCAAACACACACAGTACTCTCCTTTAAATCATCCAACGTTAGGGATCTGCTGTAAGCTTGCCAGGCCCTGGTAGGGATGCAGGTATTAGAGCTGCACAGGTAAGTCAGGCATCACAGCCCTTGCCCAGGAAGTTAACAGTGCAGTTACTGAGGAAGGAATGAAAGACATGTCTGTAGATAGAGATGAAAATGGATGGGGTCATTGGGCTTTCTCAGGTGACCCTCTACCAATCTTGAAAGACAAGAGTGGTGGCTCAGGACAGGGGAAGGGCAAATTCCAGGCAGATGCAAAGAAAATGGACTGAGTGGCAAGAAGACGTAGGGAGGGGCCAAATGGTGCAGAAACTTCAACATTAGGGTAATAATATCTTCCAGCATCTGCGCTCTCAGACTTTGCCAGGCGCTGTGCTATCATACATATGTTGACTTCAAGCATTCTATTCTCTGGCGCTCACAACCAGAGCATGAAGTAGTAGACATTAATCACCCTGTTGTACACATAGGCTACTTGAAACTCAGCCTGTGATTTGACCAAGGCCACAAGAAGAAGCAGAGGACAGGTTCAAGCCAACTCTCCAAGATACATGTGCTTGACCAAGCGATTCCAGAGACACCCCACAGACAACCATGTCCTCAGCTGTAAAGCCAGACATACATATCCTTCCAGAGACCCCACTGTTGAGGCACAGGCAAAAGAGAGAGAGAGGGGGGGGGGAGAGAGAGAGAGAGAGAGAGAGAGAGAGAGAGAGAGAGAGAGATTTGCCAAAACCTGGGGGTCAGCCATCCTTCTCTTCCTTAGCTTCCTTGGTAGAAAGGGCAGGGATAGAGGTGTCAAGAAGACTAGAGGACATGGACAACGAAAAAACTGTTTAGCTATTCTTCAGCCTCTGAACCCCAGGGGGAAGGCCCCTCTGGTCACTTCCACTAAATTCATGCTGCGATAAAGCGGTCATTGTGCCTTTCCAAAGCATTTCCTCATCAATCATCACAAGGGAAGAGCAAATGTTTATGGGGTGAGAGGCAGGCATTGAAGTTATAAGTTCAGTCTCTGCTATCAAGCTCACAGCCCTCGCCTCCCAACACATCCCAGGGTAGGCAGGCTAATTCTAGTATTGAACAAGGGCAACAGCAGGTAGACAAGTTTTCTTGGGTAATGGGTCCTGGAGGAGATTTAATAAGCAGTAAATCAAAACTGAACAAATTCTGGGTCCCCAGACAGAAACCTTACTGGAGAGCATGTGGTCCTGGCAGGTCACACCAAGGCCTATACCATCACCACCTCTACCCAGAGGCCCACCCACCCCATGCCCCACACAGAACAGAGGCGCTCAGGGGAAACTGACATTTGGTTTTATTGTGCCAAGGACATTACAAATGGTGGATCTTGTCAACACCTGCAGGGCACGGGTGCCCCACCTGCCGAGGCTGCTCCCACTCCCCACACTCAAATCCTGGGTGGCGGCCATGATCCCACCACCCCAAGATTCCAAAGAGACTGGTGGTGGTGGTGGAAGCAAAGGAATGCAGAGAGGTCAGAGTCTCATTGTCCAAAGCCCACATGATACTTGCCACCCCTGCCCCCCTCCACAGAGCTGGAGGCTGGAAACAGCAACCATATCTTTGTGCCCCTGTGCCCCATGGACTGCCTACTCCCGAACCAAAGAGATGCCGCCTTCATAGAGTCAATGCTGTTGTCTACATGATTTTTGATAGGTTGATTTTATAAGATAAAAGTATATTTTAATAAAGAAAAAATTCAACATTGAAGGCTCAAACATTCTTGGGGTACTAGGAAGGGGGGTTTCCCACTTCTTCCTCCCACCTCCCTGGCATCAGTGTGAAGGTGGGGTAACAAGTTTTTCTGGTCTTGGAAAGGAGGGGGACAGGGAGACTTTCCTCTGACTGAATGTCTCTCCTCAGGGGCTGCCTGGCTGCCAGCTGGTTTGTCTATGTGCCTCTTGCCTACCTTCGGCACCCTTGCCCGAGTGAGTCCCCTGTGGAATGCAGGGATGGTGCTGTGCGGGGGGCAACAGGGCACGTCAGCTGGCGAAGAGACAGGTGATGGTGGTGGTGGCAGCGATGAGAGGGAGCTTGGGGGTGGGCCAGCCAGAGGGATGTGGGAAGGCGGGGAGAAGGAGGAAGGCAAGAAGGAAGAAAGCCAAAGAAAGGGGGGGCGGCCCCAGAGGGCAGGAGTGGTAGGGGTTGGGAGATGGTCTCCAGTCTCTGGGTCTCCATCAACTCTTGTCTGGGGGTGGGTCTCTGTGCACTTTGTTTTTCTTCATACTGTCTAGGTATTCCTGTTGGGACACTGCCAGCACCGAAGCTAGGATCTCATCATCATCCCAGTCGTTCAGACCTGCTGGGCAGGAAGAAGGGAAAAGGAGTGAAGAAACACTCTCCAGGAGCCTTCTCCTCCCGTTCACTGGCCCCGAGATGATAGGCCCATCCCAGTCCTCTCTGGGCTCTTGCCAAACCGCCTTCAGGACTACAAGACCTCACTCAGACCCCCTCTGGGGCGGATCTCTTGGGTCTGAAAAACTCCTCTTTCTTGAAGAGGTGGCCAGAAGCTCCAGAAGCCCCCTCTCAGACTGCTGCTTTCATCTCTCCCCAGTTCCCAGCCATGCCTCCCAGGCCCCTGGACAGAGGCAGCTTACCAAAGGCGGATGGGGACATCTGCTGAATGAGGGCCCGGCACTCCAGAGCAGGGTAGAGGGACACGAGCGGAGAAGTAGCCCGGTCGGCCCCTGCCGAGAACTGGCTGCTCGTACCTGAGGCAGATAGAGAGTCAGAGGCAGACAGTCAGAGGCAGGGTCCAGGACCTAGGTAGTACCTCCTAACCCTGGCTTGCTCCCCATCAGCAAATCACTGACCTGGTGCACAGGGTGAAGGAGGTTTGGCAAGAGCTAAAACAGTGCTTGGGGAAGGAGGCTTGATGCCCAGCTCAGCATGCAGCTCAGGATGCTCTGGTGAAGAGGCTGAACTCCGCTGCCGTGGGGACCGGCTGGTCCACTCCTCCAGGCCACTGGAGGCGGCTGCTGTGGCAGAACTGCACGTAGCGCTAGCTTTCCGGGGCTGTGGTGGGAAAGGAGATAAGGACAAACACCAGCTACGATCCTCCTTTGTCCCATCTCCAAGCTCGCTCCCTCCTGGAAATCCTGACTATTGTACACCTTCTACACAGGCTCCCATCATTTCCAGTCACACAACAGATCACAGGACACAGGTAAGCTCCTTTAGACACCTCACACCCTGTCAAATCAATCTGACTAGAAGCCTGTTACCTCTACCTTCAAAACAGATCCAGAATCAGTCCCCTCCTCTCTCCTCTCCTGCCACCACTGACATCAGGACTACTGCAGTGGCCTCCTTCTTGCTGGTCCTCTGCTTTCATCCTTGTCCCCTAGACGCTGTTCTGCCCTCAGTCAGGGGCCTCCTGTTAAAATCCTAAGTCAGATCCCATTCTTCCTCTGCTTACCACCCTACCATGGCTTTTTCTCACGCAGAGTAAAAGCCAAAGACCTCCCCAAGGTCCACAAGCCCCTCCTCAGTCTGGCCCCACCGCCTCTTTGACTTCATCTTCTACTACATTGTTAGTCACGTTGGCCTGGGTGCTACTGCATCACACCACATGTGCATTGCCTCAGGGCCTTTGCTCTGGCTGGCGCTCTGCCTCGCCTGGCACATGCACTTAACTCCCACACCTTACGCAAGCTTTTGCTCAAATCTGAGCTGCTCTGAGGCCTACCTGAATACACCCCACCACTTAGATCTATTCATTCCCTTTACCCTGTTTCACATTTTTCATCCATACCGCCTCTTAACAAATTTATTCATCATGTTTCTTGATCATTTTGTTCGACTCTGCAAAAAAATCACAAGGACAGGGATCTGGACCTGGCTGGCTCACCAGTGTACCTTCAAACACTGAGAACAGTGCATGGCATAGACCTGCAGTAAATATTTGTGAATGAATTAGCTCTTGCCACCATCTACAATCACACTAAACTCCTTTTGATTCCTCAAATGCCTTTCTGCCCCGCTCCCTCCTTGCCCTCAAAACTCAGCCTTCTTCTATGAAGACTGACCAGAGCCCCCATCTCTGCTCATCCACAGCCAGGCTCAAGGGCCCCACTGATGTGACTGTCAAAATGAGAGGGCCTGACCTGATTTTACATCCTTAGCACAGAGCCTGGCACACATGGGCATTAACAAAAGCCTGTCTTTCTGAAACTCTCCATTAACCCAACATGTCACCACCCGTGGCTGCCCTCCCCACCCCCACTCCTTAAGAAGCTTGTTCTGCACAGGTGTTGAGCTTTCTAAGGCACAAGGTCAAGGCTAAGTCCAAGGTGAGGTATAAAAAGGGCTAGGTGGGGGTCTCCCTGGTGGCAAAGGGGTTACAGTCTCAGCACTATGAAGCTATCACCAGCCACTGCAGCACTAGTTCGATCTCTGGCCAGGGAGCTGACCCACATGGCGCATTAGGCCTTGCCTGTCTCACCCACTGCTCCCCTCAGCAGTGTATTTCAGTAGATCTGCCTGTTCTGCTCCCCACTGTCTCTGATGAATCCTCTCACCCCCTGCACCTCTGGCCTACACCCCAGTTCTTGTACGCATAAATAAATAAAAATAAACCTTTAAAAATAATAAATGAATAAATAGGGCTGGGAGCCATCTTCTCTTCCAAATGTCAAAATCACTGAATTTTTTTCTACCTGTTTGGGGGATGAGCACGACAAGTAGTGGTTCTTGGCTACATCAGTTAACAGCCCAAGACCCACCTGGCTGGGACCGCGGACCTGGCGGGCCTGTTTCTCCTGATCCCTCAGCCACTGCAGGTAGGATTCCCGAGCCACCTGCTCCTCAATGGCCTCATTCGTGGCCTCCCAGTCTGTGGCCCTCTTCTTGTCTTCCAGCATCTGCTGTTCAATCCATGACTCTTCTGATGTTTTTATGGCATTCTTCATCAGGGACTGCTCTGCAAACTACAACGGGCAGGGACAGGAGTGAACAGGAATGTGGGGGTGACACTTGGAACTCTGGCCAAAAGTCCTAACTGCCTTAGGGAGTGGGTCTACAGGCCCAGAAGAGACATGAAAGCAGGTACTCTTACTAAGCACCCTCCAAGGCAGGCTACCTACTCACCAGGGACTGGGGCAAGGTAGGCTTGGGTTGTTCGACTTACGGTACCAAACTCCTGCATTCAGAAGCCCCATTGCTCTCAACCCCAAGACACTTCAACTTAGATACTAAGTCTGGGGCAGTCAGGTGTCCTCCAGTCTCAGCCAGAATTTTAAAAAGCCTCACCAGTGATGACTCAGTTTCATAATGCTGAGAGGCCTTCCCCACATATACACCCAGGTGGGACAAAGAGAAAAGATCACCTGAGAAATTAGTTATGTGTGCAGAGAGGAAAGTGAGTACTCAGGCATTTAAGGGAACAACATGGAGCACTATCAGTTTAGTTTGGGGTGCTGTAAGTTGTGGGACACTACGTAAGAGTGCTATTTGTCATGTTCCGGAAACAACAGTATTTAAAAAAAAAGCAGAGCCTATCCTAGGAAATACGTGTCAGTATTTGAATTCAGTGAAATGAACATTATTTTGGGGCCTCTTTGGTGGCATAAGGGGTTAAGCACAGTGCTGTGAAGCTATCCGCAGCCTCTGCAACACGAGTTCAATCCCTGGCCTGCCAGGGAGCTACCCAACATGGCGCAGCAGACCTCTCCTGTCTCACCCGCTGCTCCCCTCAGCAGTGTATTTCAGTTGGTCTGCCTGTTCTGTGCCCCACTCTGTCTCTGGTGAATCCTCTCACCCCCCCAGACTTCTGACCTATACCCCAGTACTTTTATACATAAATAAATCTTTTAAAAATAGAAATGAATGTTATTTATTTATTTATTTATTTACTTATTTAATTGCGGGACCCTCGCCAGGGGCCGGGGAATGAACCGGCACTGCAGGGCTGCAGGCAGCCTCGCAGCCCAGCGCTCAACCGCTGCGCCACCAGGGGAGGCCCAGAAATGAATGTTATTTTAATGCACATATACATACTATATATAAATGTGTACATCGCTAAGTAATTATGTAAAATGTAATTTTAACCCATGGATAATAGTCTAAAAGGTATATAAAACTCTATGTTAGAACAAAAACAATTAAAAAACGGGCCTTAAACAGGGGCCTCCCTGGTAGCGCAAGGGGTTAAGATGCAACCTGTGAAGTTATCCGCAGCCACTGCAGCATGAGTTCGATCCCCAGCCAGGGAGCTACCCACATGGCGCAGCAGACCTCTCCTGTCTCGCCTGCTGTTCCCCTCAGCAGTTATTTCAGTCAATCTGCCTGTTCTTTTCCCCACTCTGTCTCTGGTGAATCCTCTCACCCCACCTCCCCACATCTCTGGCCTACACACCAGTTCTTCTAGGCACAAAAAAATCAATCTTTTTAGAAAAAAGAATTTTAAAACAGAGAAAATCTGACAAACACTACTTCTGCCAGGTGATGAAAGTCAACATCAGTAGTCATAAATCCTGTTTGTAGTGTACACTGTTAGTACAATGTGATGAGAACTCTACTTTACCACTGTGACCTTCTTTCCTTAAAACCCCTAACCCCAGTCCAATCATGAGAAAAATTCCAAAAGAGAAACATCCTACCATATACCTGACCAGAACTTCTCAAAACTGTCAAGGTCATCAAAAACATGAAAGTGTGAGAAACCAGACAAGGGAGCCTAAAGAAACATAACTTTAGTTAATGATAATATAGCAATACTGATTCACATGTTGTAACAAATGTGTCACAGTCATCTGAGATGTTAACAGTCAAACTGCAGTGAGAAGGACACATGAAAACTTTGTACTGTGTCTCAATTTTTCTGTCAATCTAAAACTGTTTAAAAAATGAAGTCTATAAATAAAAATAACAAGACATTCATTTTTTAAAAAAAAGTAAAAAGAAAAGAAACAAGTGATCAAACTACAAGAAATCATGGATGACTCTTAAATGTATAGGGTTACCTGAAAGAACCTACTCTGAGAAAACTATACTGTATGATTCCAATTATAAGACATTCTAGAAAAGGTAAAACTAAAGAGCCTGTAAATAGATCAAAAACAAAAACAAGGAAAATCAGAGAAACTGTCACAGTCAAAAAGAGTCAAAGAAAAGATGATAACTAAATGTAGTATGGTATCCTGGATGGACACCTGGAACAGAGATCATCAGGGAAAAACTGAGGTAATTTGAATAAAGCATGATCTTAGTTAATATATTGATATGATTCATTAAGTGTGACAAATGTACTATGCCAACACATTAATCATAGCGGGGTATATGAAAATTCTCTAATTGCAGTAATTCTGTAAATCTAAAAATATGCTAAAATTGAAAGTGTATTTAAAAAATGAAGTGCACACCCCCGCCCCCGCCATTGGAGGGTGTGTTGGGGTGTGCATTTCCTAAAATGAGGCAAGAGCACTTTCTGTTTGTAGGAAGTGAAACCTGAATAAAAGATACCAAAATCTCCAGCAGACGACTATGAGAGAGAGAATGAGAATCTATCAAAGTGTGCTGGGAAAATGTACTGCCACCTTCTGAGCAGCTATTAGGCACTAGGCCCAGTGTTAGGCACTTTCTGTATCGGCCAAGCTGACAGCCCAGATTACTTGTACATTTTGCCCCAGATCCCACAGCCAGTGTGGTGGAGCCAGGCCTGCACTCCCAGTCTCTGTGACCACAGCTGTCTGTAACTGTTGAGTTTGGGAGGAAGAGTCATGTAGGTGCCAAGATACCCAGATGAAACTCTGGCTCACAGCTGCCAAATGTACTCCATATCCCAAACTGCCAACTCTCAACAGGCACATAAGATGAGTGAGCCAGCTCAGAAAGGCAAAATGAGACCACAGAATGAGCCCTGAGAGATCACCTTAGGTAACTCCCTGATTTTATATAGGTGAGACCTTAGGGGAGATTCAGGGGGTACTGGACATCTTTGTGGGCTAGTGGCAGAACTGAGACCCCAACAGAAGTTTCTAGCCTCTATATCCAGCAGTCACCCTGGACATGGGGACACACTTACCCCTGGTTTGAAAGACGGCAAGCCCAGCCCTACACCAATGGTGGCCTTGTTGGGATTCACCACTGAATTGTAGTGGATATTCCGATGGTAGCTGACACGGATGGGTTCATCCTCATTTTGATGGATCCCATGGAATGTGTTGATGGGTTCTGCAGAGAGAGAGAAGGAGGGACCATCCACAGTGGGCTGGGTAGGGCAAACTCAGACCACACATCATCAGTTGCTCACCTACCCACCACAGAAGTACCTGTGCTGTACTGGTACACCTCCACGGGCCGGTTGTACATCTCTGCCATGGCCTGCATCTCAATGTGGTTGCCATGGCAGTTGTTTTTCCGCTTCCGGTTGATGTAGGTGGTAAAGTCCTCTGTGACATAGTTGGAGAAGTAGTCGGCATTCTTCATCTGTAGAACAGATGGAAGGGTCAAGGTCTATATGGAGAGGAGATCCTCTAGGCCTGCCCCAACCCCAAGGTCTCTGAAAGGTCTCACCAAATAGTCCATGCAGTGCTTTCGCACAACCTCATGCATGTCCTGGTCTCCATACACCTGGTCAGCTGTAGGGACAGAAAAAAGGAGAGAAAAGTAAAAGCTGCCACAAGAGGAGAGTTCTGAGTCACGAAACATCCTCGGGGCTAGGGGCTAAGGGTCAAGGAAACTCCCTTTCCTACTCCAAGATGGGGCAAGTTCTTCACCCTGTGAGCTAGAGTGGAGGCATGGAAAGAGACAAGCAAGGTTACTCTTTTAGAAGAGGACAGGACAGGTGAGAGGGACACAAGCACAGGTCTTGCAGGCAGATGACTCTGTCTTTGTCTAGGGCCTGTCTCACCACGCATACAAATCACCAAATATCTGACTAAGTGGCCTCTAACACCATTGATTCCATACACAACCCTTACCCTTCACATGAAGACACTGAGGCTCATGGGAGAATCTGTGCCTCAATCAAGGTCACATAGAAAGTTAATTTATGACAAAGTCAACTCTAGAATTCAGTTTTCTTGATGCCCAGGAGTTAGCATGCCTTTGTAGGTTAGAAAGAAAAAAAAATAAATGGGCACTAAGCCCAGTTCTGCTAGTGAGCGAAATGACCACAGGCAAAAGAAAAAGCAAACAAACAAAAATAAATAAAACTTTTTTAAATGAAAACAAAATGACCAGAGACAATTCATTCAAGTGTTCTGAGCCTCATATACCTCACATGTAAAATGGAACACGCTGGATAACTCTCTTGTGGGATGAATACGATAATGAGTATAAAGTAACCAGTGCTGGGCTTGGAAAATAGTCACTCAGTAAATCAGAGACCCTTCCCTATAATAAGGCCTGAATGTGGGGCACCGCAATGGTGACAGGAGTGAGTGAAGTCCTGCCTGCAAGAAGCACCCAGTCCAGTAAAAGAGGAACGACACATATGCACCTAACTTAAGCTTAACTCAGGGCAGCCTGCAGCCCAAACAGCGCAGGTATCACGGGGTTTGGTCAAAATAAGAACCAGGATCCCTCCGCCTGGGGCTTGGGGCTCTTCACATAGGTCGTTCCCTTCTTTTCAGGCTGTTCTTTCCATGCTGCCTACTTGTCAAATAACAATGTGCTTCTTAATACGATTCCTGCCCATGCCCCCCGGGGGTATGGCTATCACCAGATTCATCAAAGGTGCACAGACTTCTCTACCTGCTTGAGTGCACTGGCTCCCAATGAGGGCAGAAAGCAGTTCACATCCAGCTCAGGACCTGATGCACTGTAGGAACTTGGAACAGTGCTAAGTGGAAGGACAGGTTTGGGGAGCCAGGGAGCCTTCTCCCTGGTAAATTAAAGTGGGCTTTCAGATGAGGCACACCTGATGTCCACTGGCTAAATAAAGAGTGAATTCCTGGGAATTACATGGTGGCACAGCGGTTGAGCGCTGGGCTGCGAAGCTGCCCGCAGCATCTGCAGTGCCGATTCAATCCCTGGCCACCGGCGAGGGTCCCACATAGCGCGACAGACCTCTCTTGCTGGCCCGCTGCTCCCCTCAGCAGTGTATTCCGTCAGTCTGCCTGTTTTGTTCCCTGCTCTGGCTCTGGTGAATCTTCTCACCCTCCCGCGCTTCTGACTGTACCAGTGCTTGTATAAATAAATAAACAAATCTTAAAAAAGAGAGAGAATTCCCCTTTGTCTCCCCAGAGGACTGTTGCTCTGATGGGGTCTCCCTGGGGCACTGGGGCAGAGGTAGGTAGGTCCTGAAGGGAACACTGCAAAGTTCTTCCATGACATTCCATGGAGAATCACCAGAAGAATGCCATCACCACCCTCCCTTCCCCCCCAGAGGGTCTTGTGCTATAAGGAGAAAGAGGCTGCTCTGAGATAGAAAACAGGGTCCATGCCCCATGTCTCAAGTCCTCTTGAAGGTGCAGGGACCTGAGGGTGAGAAGGAGTGGGGGTTGTGAAGGCGGGAAGGGGTAGCCCCTTCACCGATGTAAACAAGGATGTGGGTTCTGTGGCCACACTACCCCCCCCCCCCAGCGGCACTTCCAGCAAGTCACGTGTCCTGCACACAGGCTGGGGCCCCCTGCTGCTGCATTTCTTAGAAACCGGGACCACAGAGCCCGCTGTGGCTGCAAGAGCTGCTCGAGGAGCTATTTCTGTAGCATGAGCTTGGGGTGCCAAGGAGAAGTCTGCGCTGTGCAGCCACAGTAAACAGGAACTGAGATGGGAGTGAAGGGGTTAAACAGGGGTCGCCGAAGAGATTTCCAGGCCTGGGAGCCAGACCTGCCTAAGACCCATCTGCCTGATGCAAGAAGCTGAGGGAAGAAGGGGAGACTGTGGGACAGGAACGGAGCTGTGGGAGAACCCCTTGAGGGTCCCATGCCCCTGCCATGGATCCCTTTACCTGGCAAAAAGGTCCTATTCCCTCCTAGCTGTGTAGCACAGGACAAGGCTATGTAACGCCCCTGGGCCTCAGAGTCCTCACCCGTAAAGTAGGGACAGTAACACTTCCTCCTTTCACAGAGCGCTGTCAAGACTACAGAAGGCTTATAGAAAGCCTGAGGCACATTAAGGTGATCAGGAGGAGGAGGAGGAGGAGGAGGAGGAGGAGGAGGAGGAGGAGGAGGAGGAGGAGGATGTCGTGAGGATGATGACAACTCCTTCAGAGAGCAGGCACCCAGAAGCCAGCCGGAAAAGTCACTGGAACCTCTCATCAAGTCCTTTCTCATTACTTCCTCAGCCAGCGGAAAGCCCCAAATACAGAGTCGAACCTGTCCCTCTGCATGTAAGCAGGATTGCCATTCTGCCTTCACTGAATCCAAAGGCCTGCCTTCTGGGCCTGTAGTTCCAGCCTTGAGCAGCCCAATGAACATCAAACTCATCACACAGGCTTCCCAAAACAGGGCTCATAAGTGTAGCAGTGGACACAGTATGACCTTCTCTACTTCAAAATGTAAAGTGTCAATTTCTCTCATCAATTCTAAGATGTACTGAATGAATGTATGATACAACATGTATTTAATCACAGCTCTTACAGAGACCTACCTCACTGATTATAAGATGCAACCTCTTTGGCGATTATTAATGTGAAGAAAATGTGCATCTTTGAATGAAGGAAACAGAGCAGCCATGTCTCCCCAACACAGGAGACTGATAGGAGGTGGAGAAAACATCCAGTGCAGGGTGAAGACCACAAGAAGTCCTCAGGAAGGTGGCACTTGTCTGACTTTGCCAACCCTGTTTCTATCCTCCTCCTCCTGGAAGGTTGGCACATGAGACTAGGGGCCAGGCCGGACTTCTCTGTGGGGGCCGAGGTGGGGAAAAGGGCCCAATGGACCAGCTAAAGGTAGGGGAATTCAGAGAAGTTGTTTTGATAGAAACTGAAACTCCTCCTCGTGCTGACGCTGCACTTGTGGGTAATTTGCACCTGCTCTCCCCTCCCATAGTCCAGCTGGAAGGGGGTCCCCACTGCCTTTATCTCTGTCCCCAAGCCAAATGGGGCTCAGAAATCCTCAGGACAATACTGTAAGTCTGGACATTCCATCAACATCTTTTCACATTCTAACTCATTCCATCTTCACCCCCCCCCCCAAAAAAAGAAGAAGAAACCTCTACACAGGAGGATCTGAGAAACGTGGACAGCTGCCCTGAGGTCACACATTTGGGAGTGTAATGGTGAGGCCAGTGTCTCAAGGAGTAACTAGTGACTTCAAGCACTGCTACGCCCATCCAGCTATGATCTTAGCTACCTGACTCCCTTCACAGTCAAGCCTGATCCTGTCTGCCTCAGTTTCCCCAACACACAAGCAGGAATCAGCTGAAACCCAGGAAAGGCCTGGGGATAGAAGATTACAGATATCAGGCTCTGTATTCCTTGCTAGGGCCACAGAAGTCAACATGAACCTAACTGCCTTATATCCCACTTCTGCGCTTTCTCTGAGCATAGACATACCAACATAGAAATGTACATACACACCCAACCAGCAGGTCTTGTCAAAGATCTTCTCTGAGGCCAATTATACACAGAACAGCCCTCGAAATAACAGAGAACTAGGCCATTCAAGGAGCAGATACCCTTGCCGCCAACTAGGAGACTGAAGGCTGGACAGGATGAAGGGCTGTACAAACTAAGGCCTTAGCTCCTTCCTAGTCTTTGACCAGGGTTGATGAGAGGGGAGAGAGCTAACAGCTCTAATAACAAACTTGCCTCAACCTCCCTCCCCTGCTCCTGGGAGAAGGCCCCCAAACCTTTGTAACCCTTCCTCAAGTTCCCTAAAATGTACTCATTATTTGCCAAGCAGTTATGTGAAAAAGGAAGATAGGAGAGCCTGGACTGCCCATAGGAGTTTAAGTACAGGGCCTTATCATTCATTTTAGAGGCACCTGGGAACTATCCCTTCACCACTGCTGCCTGCTAGAAGAGCCACAGCAAGTTCTGCTGAGGACAGAAAAGGAAGCTTGGTGTCTATAGGAATTCTAAAAATAAATCACACAAATGTATATGCACACAGCAGCAGGGGGAGACAGGGACCTGGTCTGCTCCCCACTTCCCTCCAGATCCAGTGGGAACCTAGACCCCGCTGAGGAGATAAACCAGGAAAAAGGTCTCAACTCCCTGTCAAGCAGCTATAATGTGACCTGGCCTTTGGCCCCCAACTGGCATATACTCAGTGGGAAGATAGCAGAACTCAACCCCCCTGATAGCTTGGTTTCTGAGATGCCTACCCCTCTACTCAAGGATTTTCTGGCAAAAATGAGAAAACTGAAGGAGCAGGGCAGAGAGAGGCCAAAGTAAATCGGTACACTGTGGTCCACAGGAGTCACCTCCTCCTAGTCTGGTTCACCCTCAAACACTAGATAATCAAGTCCTGGCTTTCTCTTGAGGCTCAGTTTATAAAATTGTCAAAATAATCCAATAAAAATAGTCAAAAAACTACATAAGATCCATTTCTCCCAGTGCTGATGGTCCATATTCCAAGACCAAAAGGCCCAGAGGAGTGAGCCTGGCTCATATTTCTGAGTCCCACCCTTTTAACATGCACAACCCCAGTTGCTTTCCAGGGCTATGAAGATACACACACATGCAGCCTACACTCTGCCTACAGCACCAGGGCCAGAGGATTTTGCTGAGTCAAAGCCACATGGGTAGAGGGAGGGAGAGATGCAGACTCACGTTTCCAGGAGGAGGCTATCTGCACACAGCAGGGGCAGGGCGAACCACAGAACACCTCTGGGGCTCAGGCTCCCGCTTCCACTCCACCCAAGTCTCTGATGGTGCTCGCAGGTCCCCACAGAGGGTGAGAGAGAACTGGGCATAAGCAATGGATATTGGTCCACACTGGGGACACCCAGACCTCAAGAGGCAAACAGAGCATGGAAAGCCACCTGTTCTGGGATTCCCAATAGTAGAGGGCCATGGACTCCCAGATGGAGGAAGACAGGCCCACAAATGTCAAGAACACAGGCGAGGTCACTTAGTCAGTTGACACCCAAGAAGCTAAGTCTTTCCTAGGGACACAGGAAGAATGTAGTCTTTGGAAAACTCTAGGTCCCTGTGCCAGCTCTGCCAGTAGTGACCCTGAGCGTGTCATTTCCCTTTTCTGAGCTTCAATCTCACCTATCTCATGGAATAATGACCCCATTTTGCAGATGAATCTGCAGCCCCATTTGAATTTCCCGTAAACAGCAGGGGCCAAGGGAACAACAGAATGCCCTTTATGTATGCAATCACCCCCATCCAACTCCAGTTCTTGGTTATGTGCTCCTTCCACTACTCACAGCATGACAGCAAGTCAGATCCTGTAGGCCTTCTCAGCAGAGCTAGGACAACTACCATCTGTTATCTGTCCAGGCTCAGCTAGAAGCAGAAGGGTAACAGAAAGCCCGAGGGCAAAGTCCCCTTCCCAAGGAAATATCTTGTACATTCTGCCCTAGGGAAACATCCAGATGAGCCCTAGAGACCCAGGGGTCATGTATTTTCTGGGGAGAAGCCATGGAGCTTCTGAAGTTTTATGGCATAAAGACACGGGCAGCCCAGTCAGGGGAAATGTGTAGCACTAGTGATGATAGAGAAAGGTTTTCAATCGGCTGTGGTCAGCTCTTCCAGGAAGCTCAGGCCCCTGAAAGCCCCAATGGGCAGGAAGGGTCAGAGGGTGTTTGAGGAGAACACCTACATTGACACACATGCAAATACTGCTCTTGATATGGGTTACTGCATAAGCTAGGTCCTCACTGGCTCCAAGATCTGCCTTTTTAAAGATGGCCCAAGACCCAAATGCCTAGCTGTATTCTCCGACCCTAACTGCACCAGCAGCCCCACTTATATACTTTCAGTCTGGGGTCTCAGCACAGGGTCTAGCACCTAACAGGGCCCCATTTATTCTTTCTTTGATTTTCTCTGGCCCAAGATGCCCCCCAAATGTTTTTTTTTTCCAGGAAACATTCCAGGGAAACATGGACTTGAGCCACAGGGGTAGGAGGGTTGGGAATTTTCATTGCCTGACCCTCTTCTGCTTGGCAGAATGGAGAGGCAACTGCTCATGCCACCAAATTTTCTTTCACCCATTCAACAAACAATTGTAGCTGTGAAGCACCACTGAGGACAATTTTCAGATTTTACCAATGCCACTGTGCCACAAGAACCTACTATGGGGCCTCCCTGGTGGCGCAAGTTGTTAAGATGCAAACTATGAAGCTGTCCACAGCCACTGCAGCACAAGTTCAATCCCCGGCCAGGGAGCAACCCACATGGCGCAGCAGACCTCTCCTGACTCACCCGCTGCTCCCCTCAGCAGTATATTTCAGTCGCTCTGCCTGTTCTGCTCCCCACTCTGTCTCTGGTGAATCCTCTCACCCCATACACCTCTGGCCTATACCCCAGTTCTTGTATGCATAAAATAAATAAATCTTTAAAAAAAAAAAGGAGAACCACCTACTATGTGTCAGGCACTACTGAAGTAATCTCATTTAATCATTACAATACCAGGTCTTTTAGTTTAATTTTACGGAGAGGGAAACAGACAGTATAAAACAACTACTTGTCCAAGGTCACTCAGAGAGCCAGGGGCACAGCTAGAAGTGGAGTCTGAGTCAGTCCAGTCCACCAGTAGACATGAAGGATTACCCACAGACTGAGAGAAAAGCAGACCCTTAGAAGGGTTCAAGGAGCCCTTCAGAATGCTCAACATGACATAGATGGGAAAACAGAAGCAAGGATCATATAGCAGCTATAAGGGCCAGAACCAGAATACGGGGCTTCTGACCCCCCAGCTCAAAGTGCCTATCAGAGGGCACTTTTCTTTGGTAGGTATCAGAGCCCCAAAGGGAGGATCAGGTCATACTGCCAGTTTCCCCTGGACATCAGCACAGCACCTCATGACTACTTGTTGGGTCACAGATTCAGAGCCAGAGGGGCCCCAAAGATCTAGCTCAGACTGGTTAGTAGATAGTATTAAGGAATTATTATTTATAATTATTAATTTTGGTTATGTTTAAAGAGAGACAATCCTCATCTGTCAGAAAAACACAATTATGAGTGAAATGATCCAATGCTGGGGTTTTGCTTTAAAAATATTCTTGTTTCGGGTGAGTGAAAGAGTGGATGGGGTAGTGATGACACAAGGATGGCAGTTTTGAATGACTATTTTGAAGATGGATGATGACTACACGGGAGTTCACTATTCTCTTCACTTTTATGTAAGTCAAAAAATTTTTCTATTATTCCCAGGTGCTAGCAGTGTGGTGTGGCTAGGAGTATAGACCCCGAGCCCTGACTCAATCATGGACTAGGCTGCCCCTGGGCAAGCCACTACTCCCACCTCTGAGTCACTTTTCTTACCTGCCAAACAGAAGCAACAATAGTGCCTACACTTCCCTAGTTGGGGGAGAACTGAAAGGACTTCCTGCAGTCCTGACAGAGCAATCTGTCCCTAAGTAATACTAGTTTCTTTGCCACTAGCACTGCAGTTATTACTGCTATTATTACTCTGACACTACCACAAAGCCTCATGACCGAGGGTTAGAGGTAAGACACTCTTGAAGCTGGGGCCTGGAGTCCCTAAAAGACCAGCTAACTCTGCCCCAACTCCCTCAGGGGTTACGCCTAATAACTTGGACACAGCTTAGGGGCAGCCCTAGGCCCTTGAGGGCTGAGGCAGAGACTCACCTACAGCCCGGAAGAGACAGGCGCCGTCCTCCTTCATCTGCTTGATGATGAAGCCCTTCTTGTCTCTCAGGGCCTTTTCAAACCAGTGCTCCTGCTGTAGGGAAGAGGTGGGGGTCAGCAACAGGAAAAGCCTGTACCCCCGCCCCAGGGCCCTGCTCTTGAGCTTTCAAGAAGCTCAACTGATAGGCCAAGAGGAGAGTGGGCAGGGTCGAATTCTCACCCCTGCTTGACCACTCTGCACACATGACTGATTTTTTTTTAGGGAACCAGTCAAGGTTTGAGCAGAACACTTGCTCCCAGAGGCGCCCTACCTGCATTCTGACTCCTATGGACCATGCTGGGAATCCACGCTAGGCCTTCCCCCCAGGCCAAGACCTGCAAGTTCCTGGGGGGAAAACCTGATTCAAGGAGTTTCACCCTAGGTCCCTCTAGCCACTGAGAGTAGGGGAGATGTTGAGAAGGGAGTGACTAGCAAGAGTTCTGAGAGTCCCACATATAACTAGGGAATTCAAGCTATATTGAAGATATGTTTGCATAAGGCAAAATGTACTTGAGATATTATCTCATTTGTGATGGAACACATTTAACATATGTATACAAATACTCATACACACAAAGTTGGGAAGGCTATGCAACAAAATATTATACCTAAGTGTTGGGATTACAGGTGATTTTTACTTCACTTCCTTCCTTAAACAAGGTATACAACTGTTTGTCCAAATTTCAAAAACTAAAAAAGCTTTGAAAACCAAAAGTCTTTAACCCATTTGCATCATAAACTGATCTGAGCTTTACCCAACTTGGGGGTGAATATTCAAACATTTCCACACAACAGAAAGATCAGGTGTTTAATTATGTGGTACTACCATAGACCTCACAGGAGGTGTTACTAATACACAGTTCAGCCATCTCCCACTAAGCAAAGGGGATATGTTCCAAGACTCCCCAGCGGATGTCCGAAAGCACACATAGTACCAGACCCTGTATGTACTATGTTTTGTCCTAGAATTTAATTTTATAAACTAGGCACAGCAAAGTTAACAATAAATTAATAAAACAATTAAAAGCAATATACTGTAACAAAAGTTATGGGATCTCTCTCAAAATATCTTACTGTACGTAGTATTTTCAGACCAGGATTGACTGCTGGTAATCGAAACTGCAGAAAGCAAAACCTTGGTTATGGAGGGACTACTGTGGACACACCAGGTGACTTTGCTACGTTCTGAAATTTTTCTAAATTCCCAAGCACATCTGGTCCCAAAGGTCTGGATTAAGTGAGCCTGTACACACACATATTTTCCAGTTTTAAAAAAAAATAACGGAGAGAATGAATAGACAGAACAAAGATTTTTAGAGCAGTGAAACTATTTTGCATACTGTAATGGTGGTTCCATGTCAATAAGCACTTGTCCAAACCCACAGAAAGTGCAACACCAGAGTGAACTTTAATGTAAACCATGGACTCTGGGTAATAACAATGTGTCCATGCGGGCTCACCAACTGCAACAAATTTATCACCCTGGTGGGGAACATTGATAATTGAGCTATGCATGTGTGGGGGTGGAAGGTGTATGGAAATTCCCTGTACCTTTGGTTCAGTTTTTCTGTGAACCTAAAACTATTCAAAAAAATAAAGTTTATTTGAAAAGAATAATATCCATGTGTCACTTAAAACATGTTCCGTTTCAAAACAAAAACAGAAGCAGCAAACCTTTCCCTGTTCACTGGCGCCCTCTGCTGGCCACGAGACATCGGCCTAATTCAGCATCAAGGCTAGAGACACCACTCTGCCCCAGGATTTACAGGATCTGAGTTAATGCCAACCAGACAGAGGGAATCACCTCTATGCAGGTCTTTTCCCCCAGTTCAGGTGACATAAATTCCTTAAAAAGTAGAAGCACAAAATGTGGAGGCCAGAAACTATCTATGGATTCTAAACCCAGTTCAAAGAATCACTCGCTGCATGATTTCAGGTAAGCTGCCAGAAATCACCAGGCCTCAGCTTTCAGGGGATATGTGATCTACCTGACAGAGATATGAAGAGGTTCAGAGGAGCTTAAGGACCTGAAAAGGCTTTGTCAACAACGTAGCATACACTGATGACACTCACCAATACAGAAAAAGGGGCAAACCAGCACAGGCACAGATGTACAACTGAGATGCCCTCAGAAAGTCCCAGGTGAATGGCTGGGCAAGAGGGGATAAAGAAGGGGTGACAGGCGAATACCCAGCACCCCACACCCCAGGGCCCACACCCCAGGAAGGTGTGGCTACCTTTCTAGAGATGACACAGGCATCTGGAAGCCCTTAATGGGCTTCCATGAGCAGCACAAAGACTCTTGTTTGTGCACAACATTCCAGCAGTGCAGGTGCTCCTCCTGTCCCAGAGGATGTGGGCTAGCACACTGCAGCCAGTTCCCCCAAGTCCACCCTGCCCCACAGGGTCAGCCATCTTCTAGCACCATGGCACGTGCCCTAGTCAGAAGGATCCAGCAAGGAAGCTGCAACTATTACCACAGGCCTGGAATAGACGGAATAAAGAGTTCTAAAAAAGAGCACACTAGAATGTCCTGCCCCTCAAGCATGCAGGAAGAGGGGGTATCAAGAGGAAAAAGGGGATCAAGAAGGACAAGAGGGGCTCCTACTTATTCACCTAACATTACCAGGCCACTATTAAGTCAGACCCTGAGCTGGGCTATTAAGAACAGAAAAATGAACCAGACCGGGTCTCTACTGGCAAGAAATCTCATAAACTGCTAGGGGAGGGGGAGGGAAATAAGGAATGGCCACACACATTTGAGTAGGGCTGTGAGAGAGGTTAACAGGGAGTGCTGTGAAACAGAACTAGGGACTCAGTCATTAAAGGTGGCATCTGAGAGAAAGCGCCATCCAAGCAAAGGATTAAACACCAAGACCTCCAGAGATGCACATTAACTGGATAAGAAATCACTTCTGCCACAAAGCACCAGGAATGCCAGAGGTTTTCCAGCAATGAGCTTAAGTTCTGGGTAGGACTAGGCAGGTAAGCAGGGCAGGGCCAAGAAGAAAGATAAACTCCTATTAGCTGGACACCTGCCCATACCAGATGCCAGATGCAAAAGGTGACCTCATTTAATTGTCCTTACTGCAGCCCAGGTGGCAGGAAGCACTATCTTCATTTTACAAAGGCAGAAAGGAGCTGGGGTTAGGGCAAGAGTAAAGCCTAGTGGGCCTCCCTGGTGGTGCAAGGGGTTAAGATGCAACCTATGAAGCTATCCATAGCCACTGCAGCATGAGTTCGATCCCCAGCCAGGGAGTGACACACATGGAGCAGCAGACCTCTCCTGCTGCTCCCCTCAGCAGTGTATTTCAGTAGATCTGCCTGTTCTCTTCCCCACTCTATCTCTGGTGAATCCTCTCATCCCCACCCCCGACACTTCTGGCCTGTACCCCAGTTCTTGTATGCATAAATAAATAAATCTTTTTTTAAAAAAAGAGTAAAGCCTAGTATAGAGGCAACAGCGGAGACCTCAGGCATCACAGCATGGAGGCATACCTGGCAGCCCAACATGGTTTGTCCCTAAAAGTGAAAAGAGACCTGGGGCCTCCCTGGTGGCGCAGAGGTTAAAGTCTTAGCGCCATCAAGCTATTGCCAGCCACTGCAGCATGAGTTCAATCCCCAGCCAGGGAGCTACCCACATGGCCCAGCAGACCTCTCCTATCTCGCCCACTGCTCCCCCTCCACAGTGTATTTCAGTAAATCCATCTGTTCTGCTCCCCACTCTGTCTCTCGTGAATCCTCTCACTCCCCACACCTGTGGCCTACACCCCAGTTCTTACATGCATAAATAAATCTTTAATTTTTTTTTAATGAAAGAGATCTGAGCATACTCCTTGCACAAGCAGGGCTTTGGGCCCGGGGCAACAAGATTGGTATCTAGGCCTGGATCTGGAGGCCAGACCCCTAGCTACCCACTGGCTTTGGCCAGCAGTCTTAAGAGTTTGAGCTCTCTCCCTTTGGGGAGAGAAAACGGGGGATCATAATCCTGGGCTCAAGAAAGATTAGGGAGTCCCAGGAGGTCCCCCTTCCCCAAGCTGGACAGGAGTCTCCAAGAAAGGTGCCAGCTAAGGAATAGTTTAGGAAAATGGCCCAGGAAAAACAGGCTGGGAGTGAGGGCTGGCCTAGACATACATAAATTTAAGCTACATCAATGCTCTAACCTAAAAAAGTCAAGTGCAGACTCTGAATCCTGCAAGTCCACTGCTGGGCCTCCACATCCGTGTGGAGTCCCTCCACATCTCTGAGCCTCAGGTATAAGATTCTGCAACCTACTAGTTCAAAGGCACAAGAGAAGTCAAAGCATGCTGTGGGACCCAACCAACTCAGAGTCCAATCTAGATCCACCAGCTATTAGCCATGCAATGAACTGCTCTGAGCATGGTTTTCTAATCTGTGAGATGATGATGACCAGCCTCCCAATAACAGGGATACTGGGCAAACTCAAATATTACAAGACTTTGTCCTGTAGGAGAGCATTTACCAAGCTCCTCTCCCTTCCATGGAAGGGTAACTAGAACATCCCTATAATAGACTGAATAATGACCGCAAAAACATCAGGCTCTGACACCTGTAAATGTTATTTCAAAGTCTTTGTAGGTGTGATATTAAGGCTCTTGAGATGGGGAAATGATCTTGGGAGTATCCAGGTGGGACCTATACGTAATCATGAATCCTTATTAAAAAGACAGCAGAGAGGGCCTCCCCAGTGGTGCAGCAGTTGAGCGCTGGGTTGCAAAGCTGCCCGCAGCCTCTGTAGCACCGGTTTGATCCCCAGCTGTTCCCCGGCGACTGGAGGAGGGTCCCACATGGTGCGCAGACCTCTCCTGCCGCCCGCTGCTCCCCCCAGCAGTGTACTTGGGTCCTTCTGCCTGTTCTGTTCCCCGCCCTGGCTCTGGTGAATTCTCTCACCCTCCCGCGCTTCTGACTGTACCCTGTGCTTGTATAAATAAATAAATCTTAAAAAAAAAAAAAAAGACAGCAGAGAAAAACTGGATACCAAGAGAAGAGACCACACATTCAGAGAAGAGAAAGTGATGGAAAGACAGAGGCAG